GGGGGGGGGGGGGGGGGGGGGGGAAGGGCAATTGTGAGGGAGGTCACAAAGGTGGAGGATAGAAGAGAAGGAATGGAGCAAAAGAAAAGAAAAGAATGGGTGTTTATAAAGAAAGCCCGTTAATAGAGTCACTCCATCGTCTGATTGTTGTATTTTCCAGTAAATGATGCAAAAGAATACAAACAAGAAGCGAAGAAAGTGAAGCAAACAGCAAAATCATAACTCATCCCGCACTGGTTCTGGAGGAACAGGTCGACCATTGTCCTTAGCCAGATCAACGCCCTTCTTCTGCCTCCATTTCTCCCAGAGCGAATGGAACTCTTTCTCCATCGCGCTGTCCATTTGGTCTGGGAGGACAACATTGTACTCGACGTACAGGTGCCCTGGCTCCTCATCGACGTCGTCGTTGTGGTCGTGCAGATGGCCCTCAGAGTAATAGGGCATTCCTTCACCCTTAACGGTCTCCACGGACAGAGGCTGGATAACCTCACCCCGGCTCCGGCCCAGACGAACAACATGTCCGTCCAGATGAGTGATATTGCGTGACCAGTCACCCATCCACGCCTCGCGCAATGACAACGCCTCTTTCCAGAAAAGATCCTTGCCCTTCCTCCTGAAGAACGTTCCATCCGTGCGCTGCTCATCCGTTGAGCCCAATTCAGCCTCCTTCTCTTCCAAAATAAGTATAAGATCCCCAGCAACCCAGTCTGGACTCTCCTCCGCCTCATTCTCAAACACAATGCGTGTCCCCTTATCCATACCCGGCTCGATAGTCGCAAACGTCTCCACGTCGTTCCGCACCACCCGTTGTCCTTCGCACACGTGGCACGGCTTCTTGATAGACTTCCCTTGCCCCCTGCATTTATCGCATGGCATTTGAACCTGCTGGAACATCCCCGGCGCAAGCATGTGTTTCTGAATCACCATCCCCCGTCCATGGCACTTGTCGCAGGTGATCACCTCACGGTCTGCAGAACCCGTTCCCTCGCACGCTTCGCAAATCTGCTGCTTCTCGATCGAAAAGCGCAGGTTGCGGCCTGTATAAAAGTCGCGCAGGGGAACGCCGATGCGTAACTCCATATCTGGTCCCCGTCGGTGGCCCGCTGCATGACCAAAGTGTCCACTGCCGCCGAAGAATCGAGAGAAGAGGTCGAAGGGATCGTGTGCGGGTCGTCCGGCAGTACCGCCTTGTCGGTGCTCTTCTACACCTTCATGGCCATATTGGTCGTATATCTTTCGTGTGGTAGCGGCTGAGAGGACGTCGTAAGCTTCTGCAATTTCGACGAATTTCTTCTGTGCGGTTTCGTCTCCTCTAAAACGACCCCCTTATTAGCACGAACCGACAACAACAGACACAAAAGGACTTACGGATTCTTATCCGGATGAAACTTCTTGCTTAACGTCCGATAAGCCCTCTTAACATCTTTCTCCGACGCCGTCTTATCCAACCCCAGGATCTTATAGTAATCCTCCGCAGCCAACACCAACGGCAAGAGGACAAAAACAACCAAGAAAACGAACTGGATGAGACGCATTGTGGCGCGTAATTACCGCGAGCTGCTTTTGCAGCTCATACGCTCGCTGAATCTTTCTTGGATTGAAACGTACGCGTTTCGGTGTCGAGGTATCGGGATCGTCTCTTGTATACTTCGTCGTCCGGTTTCCGGTCGGAATTGCGGTTGTGCCTTACCACTCTGGGATGATAAGGTTGCTTTGTTTGGGGTCAGGACATTCGGCTGTCACGATATATCTGGAGGTGTATTTCAAAGTCGTGGATATAAGATTGGAGGAATTGGAGTCGGTCGAAACTATAAGATAACAGGCATAACTTTAGCTGAGGTGGCCCTAACTATGCGGACAATGGTTCATCCGATCACGTGCATTCTGTACCAATATTGACAGGGAAAGAGGAAAAAAGAAGGGAGACAAAGAAAGGATAAAAATTTCTTTTATAAATCGATAGAAAACGCATTAAATATTCATACACACTAAATCCGTCGCGTCATAAACATAACTAAAGAATTACAGTGGACTGCCTCTCGCGTCAAAAATATCATTCCGCCAGGTTTTCCCCAATCCATGAGTCTCATCTCCCTCTTCAATAAGCTCCTGCGCATGTCTGTTTTCATCCTGCCATTTCTTGATGATGCTACCAGGTGTGTAGACATCTCGGAAAATTCCATTTCCAACGACATCCACTCCAATACCCGCTTCCACGTCGCCATCCGATGGGGGCTTCATTCGTGTAAGCACGGCCCGAATAAAGCTTGCCAGATCTTTCGGGTTAGCAATACGGGCAGCTCGCAAGCGTTCACGCGCAAAGATGAGCTCCCGGTTCAGGACATTTGCGGCGGTGACAATCTGCTCCGCAATTTTCTTCTCCAGAACCCGGCGCACCAAGTGTTTGAGGAACGGCTTGGTCAGCCACAAGAGGAACCTCCATTTGCTGCGGTGAATTTTGTAGTCTAGCTTGTGGATAACGACACGGACGCCGCGGAGAGTGAAGATGTGCTCCAAGCGGTCTCGTCCGACTTCCACATCCAAGGAGATGTCGAGTCCGCGTCTGTCGAGGTAGAAGCTGGCGACACCTTCATCTTTGAGACGGAATAGGCCTGCGTGGGTGCGGAGCCAGTAGCCAAACTCTGAAGAGCTGATATTAAGGCCTAGGACCGTCGCGGTGAACGTAGTCTTAAGGTCCGTAGCCGTGCGCTTGGCGTGCTTCTTGACAATATCGATATCGTTGCGAGTTGTGATATGTGCACGATATGGAAGGAAAGACGAGTAATTGACTGTCCGCCCAGGTTCCAAGATCAGATTTTCCACAAGGAGGTCTAATTCAGGCGCGGCCATCTCCAAGCGCAGAATGGGAATGTACTGGACATATCGTAGCAAGATTGGGAAGAACACTTGGGCAATGTCCGTCGGCAGCTCGTTCTTTTTGTCGCTTAACCCACCAACGGCATCTTTGTAGATTTTCGTAGTCGTTTCGCTCAATTTGGATACCATAGGATCTTCAGATACAGACTGGATCGTTCGGTCGACTTGGATTAGGAACGCGACCATATCTTCGCCCAGATTGGTATTCGAAGTGATGTCCTTGGCCTTCTTCTTCAGTTTATCCGTCTTCTCGTTAACAGTGTCGAAGAAGTCAGGATCAGTGAGCATTTCCTGCAGTGTGTGACCAAAGTTTGTCACCAAATTCTCAAACTCTGGATCTTTGTTGGCATGCTTCACAACTGCATGGAACTTTTGCTCCAGAAGTTTCCATTCTTCCAGATGGCCAATGGACTGTGCCAGGGCCCAGAATTGCTGCATCCCCTGCTTCAGGTCTGCATTTGCACCAACATCTTCCTCTGCTGCTGTTGAGGCCTCCTCCGCTGCGGTAGCATAAGACTTGGCATACCGTTGCACCAATTGAGTCAATTGAGAAATCGAATCCGAATAGTCTGACTGCTGACGAAGATCTGAAACAGCTTGTTTCAACCGGTAGATTAGAGTCTCTTTCGTCTGTGGCGTCAAATGCTCCTTCGACTTGTCAACCGCCTGTTTACCAGTACGATTCATTCCCTCGCCAGCGATATCTGCCACTTCGGATGCTTCTTGACGAAGGTCCTCCGAAGAGGGTTTGTGACCCTCGTCCTTACCCGCACCCTTGACAGCATTGGCTCTCGCCTCTGATGGCTTCAACTCCTCTCCAACCTGGCGGGACGTTTCGGAAACGGACAGTGCTGTATCGGAGAAAATCTGGCGACCGACGGTGGTGACATCTTGGAGGAAGAGACGGAAGTCGGCATTCACTAAAAAGAGGCCTCCTACGGTGCGGAGACTCTCGTATGCTGAAACGGTCAGTTGTCTAGTAGCAAAAGAATTCAAACATAAGAGGCTGTACCAGCACTAGGATCGGCTCGAGCTCTGGCACTGGACGCCCTCTCAGAGATGCGATCGACATCAATTGAGGCCCTAGAACGCGACATATGCCAGAGAAACTCCTGCAATTGATCATCGCTGTTCTTCTCACGTAAGAAATCGATCAACACCTGAATCCAAAGACGGGAATCCCGGATTAGCTGACGACAGACGGGTCCGATATCCCCGTGTCTTGAGTTGAGCAGATCAGACGCTAGCAGTCGACGAAGATTCACGATGATTTGATCGTTGGATGGCATGTACCCTTGAGAAAGGGCGCGGACCATCTGATAGGTACGCAGCTTGTTCTGCAGTTTGCGATGTTGCGAGGCATTTTCGTCGTAGCGAGGGAGGAGGGGTTCTGTTTCTCCTTGCGGCATGGTCCAATTCCTTCCAATGAGGAAGCTTATGGTTCAGGGAAAGAAAGGAACTATCCGGTCGCATCTAATCTGACAGAGGTGAGGTAGAGAGTAGACATGATGGTGATGAGGGGAGTTGTCATCCCAACCTGTTTTGACGCTGTACGGCATGATGACGACAACCAATCACATGATGCAGTATCCTGCAGGAATGCAAAAAGTGAATATCAAAATGCAGGGGATTGGATTCTTATATGGCCACATATTATTATCATTATTATCATTATTACTGCACCACTAATGGATTTATGTAAAAACGTAAAATGCTGGGCAGATCCACCGACAAGCTTTCGATCGATGCACGTGAATCCGGGGAGAGCTGTCATGCAACCCTAGCCATGAGTGTTATTATGGAGCATCTACCCAGGAGAATACTCGGCAGTCCGATGATCTTTCTCTTACATACAGCCTTTCTTTGCACTTACTCTCGTATTCTCCGGCGACGGAGCCACCCACTCAATTCTGAATAATCCTATCAAAGCCCGTGATTAATGTTGCTCACGGTTTATCCGGAATTCTCCGACAAAAGCGTTTCGATGGAGCTGGGGCGGTCCGCTTTCCAGATGAGGCATAGAACCGCCGTCCTGGATTCAACACAGTATATACAGTACTACTATAGAGTACATACTCTGTAGATGATAGGTCAGGCTGTACGTAATTAGCGGTTGCATTCTGCTCCGTACAATGCACGGAGTACAAGTACACGTAAACAGTATAGTGAATACTCGGTAGATTCGAGACTGATTTCGATATCTGACATATTTTTTCTGGTTCTGGTCGGATTGATCGGCCGAATTGGAGAGGGCCCCATGATTGTTGGAGAAAAATCACTCAATCCTACAGATATGTTCTATTATGTACGGAATCTCCAGGTGCAGTATCACAATGCCCTTGCAGCTGAGCTCTTTTAATCGCGCAAGTCAATCAAGAATGTGTTTTCGTATTCCTCTGTATACGCTGCAGATTTTGTCCTGTAGAACACTCACCAAATATACAGAGTACTTGAACAGAGACGGTTCGGGCATCGTCCGGGTCGGGTTCTGTGGGGAATTTTATACACGGTAAACTTGCCGGGTCCAGAAGAATTCTAGTTTGATATCAGACAAAGCCCGGAAAGGAAATCGCTCGTTTCTCGTGCGAATGATTGCTAATCGTCCCTGCAGGGGTTTTTTTTTTTTTTTTTTTTTTTTTTGGCTCGATTCTCCACAGGCCAGACTTCGGGATGCCAGTCGGATCGGGCTATGAGTCGGCATCTGTACTTGTGTATAGTACAGCCCATAGCTGTTCAAAAGTACTGTACTGTAGTCGCATCTGATTTAAACATGATTATATATAACTCCCCCTGTGTTCTGTACCTGTAACATGGCGTTATTCAAGGGATCCCAATCTCGTCCGAATTCCTGTACCTGTGATTGTAGTAGTAGTAGTAAAACTCTCACTGATGTACTCTGTATCCTCGTTCGGAATTGCCTCCGCCGCTCCACTACCATAGTTCCTATTACTCTTGCTTTCTCTTTTCTCTTATATCTGACACTTTTTGTACAGCCATGACTGGTCAGATGCCATTCTAACTATCCTGTCGCGCCAAAATGGGGTGGATAATGCGCTCCGATGGGCCATGTTTCTGCCCCGACTCTTCCCGACCTGACTCAACTGGCCATGGCTGAATCCTTTTTTGTCTCCTTCTGTGCCGTCGCAACGGTTGTTTTGGTGCACCCTCACGTCCTTTTTTCCCTTTTTAATTCTCTTTTTGCCTCTGACTAAAAGAGGCAATCCATGCTTGGTCGTTTGACTTTTCGGAATGTGGTGGATTCGTCGTCCTCAGGGGCCTCTCAGCCAGAATCGCATACTACTTAATACCAGACTTCCCAGGTCATCTCGTTCTTCTCTTTTTTCTTCTCATATCGCATTGTCTTCTTTGAACCTCTCCACTCCTCAAGCAACTGGCATTCGTTGCAAGGGTACTTTGACTACATCCAATTCCATTATGGCTCGTTTTCCTCCGTCTGCGCAACAAAGTCGGCCGGTCCACGCCACTTCCCACATGGGTCACCAGGCTCCTGCGTAAGCAATCGCTTTGGTATACACAATATAGGACCATTGCTAAAGCTCATTAATAGTGAGGGAAGCTATGACACTGCCAATCCCTCGTACATTCGCAAATACCTCCGTACTTACGGACTCACTCCTCCGCGCGCAGAATCATACGAGACCCAGAAGACACGATGTATGCACACTATACAATGTGGAGTGAAAGAATGGAGCTGACAGCAGCAGGCCTGGCTCAATTGGCTCTGAAGACCACTCCCATCGACAAGTTTCTCTACCTGAGCACTCTTCGCAAGAACAACGTTCACCTCTTCTACCGTCTCGTCTCAGATCATCTTAGAGAATTGACTCCTCTCATCTACACTCCTGTGGTTGGTGAGGCTTGTCAACGATGGTCCGAGATCTACCAGCAGCCTGAAGGTATGTACCTGAGCTGGGAAGACCGCGGTAACCTCGCGGCCGTCATTGCCAATTGGCCTGAGTCCAACGTGGAGATCACTTGTATTACCGATGGTTCTCGTATTCTGGGCCTCGGTGATCTTGGTATCAACGGTATGGGTATCCCGATTGGAAAGTTGGCCCTCTACACTGCCTGTGCTGGTATCCGTCCCGAGGCTACTCTGCCCTTGACCCTGGATCTTGGCACCAGCAACAAGACTCTCCGGGAAGACCCGTTGTACATGGGTAGCCGCCACGACAAGATTACCGCGGAAGAGGAACGGGAATTCATGGATGAGCTGATGGCCGCTTTGACCGAGCGTTGGCCGGGGTGAGTGACTCATTGTCGATCATTCGGAGAAACGGGGAGCTAATCGGGGCCGATCGGCCGAAAATAGTATTGTGATCCAGTTCGAAGACTTCAAGAACCCGTTCCCCGCTCTGGAGCGTTACCGTGACACTTATACGTGCTTCAACGATGATATTCAGGGCACTGGTGCCGTCATCCTCGGTGGTGTCATCAACGCAGTCAAGCGCTCTGGCCTTCCCTGCAAGGACCAGCGTGCCGTCTTCTTCGGTGCGGGCAGTGCTGGTGTTGGTGTTGCTAAGCAGATCGTCGACTTCTTCGTGCGTGAGGGCATGACTGAGGATGAGGCTCGCGCGTGCTTCTACTTGGTCGACACCAAGGGTCTGGTCACCACCGACCGGGGTGACAAGCTAGCCGACCACAAGGTCTACTTTGCCCGCACAGACAACCAAGGCGAGCAACATAAAACTCTCGAGGAGGTGGTTGAGCACGTCAAGCCTACCATCCTCATGGGTCTGTCAACCATTGGCGGTGTTTTCACTCCCGAGATTCTCCGCAAGATGGCCGAGTGGAACACCGCCCCCATCATCTTCCCTCTTTCTAACCCCTCTTCCAAGTCCGAGTGCGACTTTGAAAGCGCCATCACCAATACTGACGGTCGCGCCCTCTTCGCCTCTGGTTCCCCCTTCCAACCTACCTCCTTCACCAACTCTGCCGGCGAGACCCGCACTCACTACCCCGGTCAGGGTAACAACATGTATGTCTTCCCCGGAATTGGCATGGGAACCATCCTTTCCAAGGCCGTCAAGGTCACCGACAGCATGATCTACGCTTCTGGCGAGGCCCTCTCGCAGGCCCTGACTGCTGAGGAGATTGACCGTGGTCTCCTGTACCCCGACATCACCCGCATCCGCGAGGTCAGTGTTGTGGTTGCCCGTAAGGTCATCCGTGCTGCCCAGGAAGCCAAGGTTGACCGCGAGACCAACCTGCGCACCATGAACGATGAGAGCCTGGACGCCTGGATCAAGGCCCGCATGTATAACCCTCACACCGAGGTCCGCGCTCTCGAGAAGGAGGTTGGCGCTCTGCTGTCAAGTCTGGGCTCGTTCCCGGCTCTGAATGGATACGATGAGAACGCTAAGCTGTAAGCGGCAAACATTTCCCTTTCGTCTCATTTGTCGCGGATCTACAAATCCTGGCAAAGCATCTTGGCACCTCATTTCGGGCTTGGTTTTTCTTTTGGTTTTCTAAATACTGGCTTGTCCAGGCGATTCTGATTTCGAGCGTCCTTCCGGTTTTTTGTTTCCTTCCTTTCGCATCGAGGATGCACTGTGTGTATTCCTCTTATACCCCGTTCTTGGTTTATATAGTGACTCCCGATCTTGACTGGTCTTGGTTGGGAGGTGTGCATTGATTGTCTACGTTGGATAATAAAAATTGTGGTTATTCATGGACAGATTTTCTCTTTGCGTAGTCTTGTTGTAGTCCTGCTTAAGGTTATAGTTAAATCTTTCCCTTGTTTTTTGAGGTAAACGCCATCAGTTATATTCGATTACTTGTATGTGAACATTTGGGACCTCAAAAGTATACCTGCGGAGACGATATACATTGCCCAGCCCATGATTCGTTGTTAAAACCAGTCCAAATGCAAACCGCCTCGGTTCGAAATACCCCTCACGACGATTGTCGCATCCTTCAAACCCATAATAACTCCAGACTTCGCAAGCCTTACCAGATCACGCCAAAAACGGTCGTCTAGAACCCATCTGACAAAATCACGTGAAACCGGTGAGACTCAAAACTCCGACTCCTTAACGGCGACGATCCACCCACCCATAGCTTAATCCTCTGGCTGGGGACACGATTCGTCTAAAGCCAGATCCAAGCTTGGACCATTCTGCTTGGTTCTGGAAAGAAGCTTAGCGCCGGGGAAATGGGGACATGAATCTCTCCGCCAGCAGTGACAGCCTCGGTATTTAACCTGCAGATTGGCTAGTCAATTAGTCAGTGAGTTTATTTGACGGTCGTCGCGTTTGGAGTTTTATAGATTGTTGTCCCTGGTTTGCTTTTCTCTTTCTTTTTATTGTTGATGGATACGGGTTGTTACACTGAGTCAATATGGTCTCCCCCTTGAGTGATGCGATTAAACTTCCCTGCGGGTTAGTCTTGCCTAACCGGCTTGCTAAGGTATGCGACCATTCTCCTGAGGGACTTGTTGATAAGATGATTAACAAGACAGGCTGCAATGGCGGAAATGCTGGCCGACTGGGACCATAACCCAACTCCAGATCTTATCGAAGTCTACAATCAATGGGGCCAAGGCGGATGGGGCGCCATCCTCACCGGTCAGCCGCCCTCACCTTCACCTTCTACCCTGACAAGCACTAAATAACGCAGGAAACGTCCAAGTCGACATAAACCATCTAGGAAGTCCCTTCGACACCGCCCCACCATCCACCTACACCACCGCAGACCAAAGCCCCACCCTCGTGCAATCCTGGGCCAAATACGCAGAAGCATGCCAACAACACGGCACCCCAGCCATCGTCCAGCTCTGCCACCCAGGTCGCCAGTCGTTCCGTGGAGCTGGGAAACGGGGCCTTTTTGCATCGACTGTTGCGCCTAGTGCGGTTCCGTTGAGGATTGGGGAGGGTTGGGTTGAGTGTGTGCTGAGTAAGGTTGCTTTTCCGGCGCCAAGGGAGATGAGCAGGGGGGAGGTTGAAGGTGTTGTCGGGCAGTTTGTGGATGCAGCGAGGTTGATGGCTGATGCTGGGTTTTCGGGGGTGGAGTTGCATGGGGCACATGGGTATTTGATTGGTATGTTTTTGGTTTCTGGGTTGGGTGTTGGTGTTTATGCTAACGGTTATAGATCAATTCTTGAATCCGAAGGTACGATATTTACCTACACTGGAAGCTAGTTGATACTGACAAAAACAGACAAATCTTCGCACGGATGAATACGGAGGTTCTGTTGAGAAGAGAACCAAATTCGTTCTGGACATCATATCTGAAACCCGAAAAGTTGTCCCTGCAAAATTCGCCATCGGCGTCAAACTTAACTCAGCAGACCACAGTTCCGTCAACTTTGAAGACACAATGACTCAAATCAGGCTCTTGAATGAAGCCGGAATCGACTTCCTCGAAGTTAGCGGTGGAAGCTACTCAGACCCAAAGGTAACCCCATCCACCTGTATTCTACATAGAGTCCTAACCTGTACAGATGATGGGACCCACTACCACCCAACAACCTGAACAATCCCAACAGCCCACCCGCACCGCCGCCCGCGAAGCCTTCTTCCTCTCCTTCGCAACTGAAACCCGCACCCGCTTCCCAAACCTCATCCTAATGCTAACAGGCGGTTTCCGCACGCGCGCTGGCGCTGAAGACGCCATTAAACAGAATGCCTGTGATGTTATTGGTATTGGTAGACCGGCTGCTATCAATCCGAAGTTCCCGCAGTTTTTGTTGGATGAAAGTCTTCCGGATGGGGAGGCAGGATTGCCATTGAAGAAGGTGGGATTGCCGTGGTATGTGAGGCTGCTGCCGATTAAGGCTGTTGGGGCGGGGGCTGAGAGCGTGAGTTTTTCTTTCCTTCCTCTTTTAACGTATCGGGATTGTTGCTGATGGTTTGTTAGATGTACTATGGTAACCAGATTAAACGAATAGGCAAGGGCCTTACTACGTCTGCTCCTGCTTAGGTCTCTGGGGAGACTATCAATATCATCCGAGTGCGTCAGGAATGGACTATAAGAACTAAAACATGTACCTTTTACAGACAATAATATATTTTTATGTTAACCTAAAGTTACTGAAGACATGCAACAGATACTGATGCATAACCCTCAGAACTAATATGTTGCGCCTCTCTGGTTCCAATATACTATATCCCGACCACTATCTTCAAACCGGGCCGCTGCACAGGAAACTGAACTCCATTCGAAAATATCGGCATCTTTCCCCACCCGTTGCCTCCGTCTTTGAAGTCCGTTGAAGCCTGGTTACAATGAGCGAGGACGGCTTGGCTCGTCGCAATGCCCTATCTGCCACATGCCTATACAGGCATAAACTAAGCGCAAGATATTGGCTTGACGACGCTAGCAGGACTGAACCATCGCTGGTCAAGCATTGTGCCACGCTAACGGTGACTTGCTTTGGGCTTAGTGAATCCATGGCATGTCTGTATGGGCTTGTTTCCGAAGAAGAATGGGAAAGGATATGTACTACAAAGCGCAAATAAAAAAAAGTGCAATAATAATGGGACCAATGTCAATTGAAAAAGTAAACAGGAGCATCAGTTAGCCACTCGCTCGCTTCTGGTGTCTTGGTGCACTGCAATGCATCACCGATAAACCGAACGAGCGATACTCAGTTTGTGTATCCCGGCGCCGGGACGCGGCCTGTCGGGAGCATGATGGCATTGTTGCATTGTCATCGACTTTTCGGATATGAATCATTATTTGGATTGATACGATTGACAACGTTCTTTTTGGTTGAGCATTCTTCGGGACGTCCGTTTGTGATTCTTGACCCGAGCAGCGACCCATCGCTTGGATGAAGTATGATGAGGTCGAGCCCTATTGTTCTGCCAAATTGGAGGGTGACAGATACGCCAGATTCTCCGCAGTCATCATTATGGCTAGCCCACAGCCGCTGCATATTTTTACTTAAACCTGCCGGTCTAGGTGTAGCTATACGATATTCTGCCCACTTTTTAACGTGCATTTACAGCTTATCAGTCTTCTCTACAGACATGGCTTTTACATTTTCAAGCCTGATGTCCCTGTAGATCAGGATGAGTACGATCTGAAGATTCTGTTGAAGTATCATCGATGTTTCGGGCTGTTTCCAGTATCATACGAAGACATGACGGACCAGGATCGGTGCTCGTAGACTATGATGTCCGCTCTAGAAAAATGGTCTGGTGCCTTGTTTTTAAATGCCAGAATCATCTCGTGCCTATTTCGACCTTAAGACTCTGGGCTACGAGGGACTGCGGTTGGATTTTTGCTTAGTATAGAGCACTTCTGAACCAAGATCGTCCAACCCCGACAGTTTTGTGGGCTGGGCGTTGGTTGACTGCTTGAGCTGTTGTCTCATTTCGTAAGAGGTTTTCTTTCTTTCTTTCTTTCTTTTTTTTTTTTAAAGATGGCAGTGTGTCCTTTCCTAGTGACAGAGGGTACGTGCATCGATGAGACATCGAAGTAGTAGTACTGGCTGATTCTGCAAGATAGCTCCCATTAGCTTTGTATTACACTTGACTTGGTAAATTCTGCCTATGGCCTGGCGTTCTCGCACTGCAAAATATGACCCCGATCTTTCTGAGCATGCAATAATGCCAGGTAGATTAAATTTCTCAAGATGAAAAAAATTTTTTTTCCCCGGTTAAAAGACATTAATTTGAAGACTTCAATTGATGCGTGTAGAGACTGAAGTGGTTGTGGGGAGAGGATAGAGAAAGGACTATAGCAAGAAGGACAGAGTCAATTGAAAGGAAGGAACAGCACAAAGGCAATGAATATAAGAATCATACTTTTGATCTAGGGTAATGCCACACACCATAGAAATGTACAGACTCAATCAGGTGACCTTTGGTTGGCCGTGCGCCTCCATAAAATGCCAAAACACACGTCTGATCAGCGTCAAGTTTTGCAATACCCGCTGTCGATTCCGCAGTCCATAGGATTTCTTCAACAGCCGTTGTACCCCAAAGTACAAATACTGCCAGTCCATATCTTCGCTAATGAGGTGCTCATATTAAAAAATAGTATTCTTTTCCGGAAACCGACGCTGCCAATGTTCATCCGGTAACTGCCACCGCAAAGCAATGAGCAGGTGGAAGAGGTCTCGCTGATCTTCCAGAGCGTCCACAACCATGAGTTGGAGTTCCCGTGGAAAATATAGTAGTGGCCCAAGTTGGGCCTGCCGGCGGTAGATTGCTTTGGTAATCAGGGTGATCAGGGCATCGAGCTCGGGGATGTCCAGTGGATCGCGATGGATGAGAGACGGATACTCGCAGCCGAGTTAGGACTTATTGATCCATTCCTGTACGCACCTCTGAGGGTCCTTTATGTATTCGTCCACTGAATACTCCTCGAGTACTTTATCACAAAGATACCTCTCAGAGTCACCCCAGGGGACATCTTTGGTGAGTTTCCATACCGTTTGATGGACAGTCATCAGAAAAAGATCAAGGTTATTCTCCAGATCAGTAGCCCCAATCACTCGCCGGGCCAAGTGCCAGCAACGCTCATGAACGAAGTACGCAAGAGGTAAAGAAAGCCTAGCGCCCGGTTCACAAGACAGGGGTGGTGGATAAAACTTCCCAAAGTCCTGTTCCTTTCTAGTTTTCCGTTCCTTCTCTTTCTTCGGCTTAGCGACCTGTCCGATATGGGCTAGATCCTTGTCCAAAGGAGCGGCTAACGGACTTCCATAGTCATCCCAGTGGCCTCTCTGCCCAACTCCAGAAAGATCCACTCGCTGCCTTCTGAAGTTCTCGTTTCGAAGTGCGTTTGGGTTGGACGGAATAACTATTATCGGCCCCTGTGGGTTAAATTCCACGCAAGATAGAAAGATGCTACTGTTGCTCACTGGCTCGAACTAATGTACCCCATATCCACGGCATTCGAAATTGCATATTCTCCAGCTCTGCGGACTTGAGCTTTAGGGAAGGCTTTTTGTCCTTCCAATCTTGCCATTCCTGGAAGATGAATAGCGAGTCATGTTCTATTTCCAATTCAACTGCACATACAACACAGGATATCTCACATCCTTTGTTCATGATGGAGTAGGCTATAGACAATAGATGTTTTGATGGTCTTAGGTGATATGTGTAGATGGTATGAACGACGCGCCAGGCACCAGTGACATATGTTTCCTTGGCATACTTTCTTTCACCCTACAAAAAGAAGAAAAAAGATTAGCAATTAAAGGATTTTTTTTTTTTTTAAAAAAAAAAAAAAGAAATACTGCACTTACTGCCCAGAGATGAGTAATCAGTATAGCAACTATATGGCAATTTAATAATGAATTTGTCCACTTGTAACGGTAATATCGACATATACCCTAAGCCAATGTGCATTACCCTCATCCGTCCCAACCTCTCAAAGGGCATCAAACGGAGCCGGATCCCCATAACTCCACTGCGTCCCAGACAAATTCTCCAGTGTCTCAAAGTTAGGCATCCAGAAAGGACTGTCCGCATTCAAGTCGATCCAAGGGGCAAGATGTAAAGCCATCCGCACTCCGTAGTAGTTACTATCCATCAGTTGTTGAGGCATTCCTCCTAGCGCTGATTCGGGTACCAGTCCAATAGGATTCGCAGTCGGTATATTGCTCGCAGGAAGGCCTTCGTTCTTGGGCATACCAAAGGCAGTAGTACTATCAGGAGCAGCATTTGCGCCCTGATTATGTTGGGCTGTCATCAGCTCAGCCATTCCTGCAGCCTTGGTGTTCTCATTCCCTTCGAGTTTCTCCATCGCAGCGTTGACGAGGAGTTCGAATGCATCGCGGTACTTTTTCACCCATGCTGCTCGTTCGCCCATGACGAATAAGACTGTTGAGCATGCGCGGATATCGTTGCTCAACTTAACAGACCAGACCTCATTTGTGTGCGTCCAGAGAGCATACAAGAGTGTTATACCGGCCATGAAAACAGTCTGGACTGCCAGGAAGGAATGGCCATATTCAAGTGTCTGATGGAGCCTTTTGTGTGTTTGACAGATGTCTCCTGCGGCATTGAGGCAGATATGGTAGTATGGATCTGCAAGCGAGAGAGCTGGTAAGAATGGTTGAATTAGAATCCGTAATGCGCGGTTGTAATGGAGCGTTGTGTAGTCCAAATCCGAGCCACTAAAGTTGCGCAAAAGTGCGGATTCCCTCCATTCCTGTAGCTCGAGGAACAACCGGTCCATTTTTGAGCGTAGAGTGTGTAGCGGCTTATCTGCGCGGTAGATTTTGTGCTGGATTCTGGAATCGATGCGACGAAGTTGAATCAGGTACACTGCAAAGGTCAATGTGGTCGTTCGGTCAGACGGTGGAGGAGCATTCAGTAACGCCGGATCTTGCACGGTATCATCTACATCCAAGGGTAAAGGGAGATCAATATGTCGATCTGCAATGCTAAAGGGACGGCCAAGAGACATAGATATGACTCTCTCCAAGTAGTAGACATTCCAGAAAAGCCTTCGACGCATCTGCGCAGTGAACGGGTCTAGGTTGGCTTCGTTCGCTTTTCGATGAAGCCCCAGATCAATAGCAATGCGCATCGCGAGTCCAATCATGTACCATATGCCTTGGCTCGAAGAGGAACGGAGATGGTATATGACTAGCAGAGTCATGGCTTCGATATTTTCAATTGATCGTGTCTCGCACATGGCTGGAGCTTGTTGTAGAGCAGTCATGTAGTATTTCTGTAGCTGGTCAGAAAGCGGTTGAGGATAATAGATGCATTATTACTCACTTCAGGATTCACGTATATGTACTTCTCGCTCAGCTGAATCATTGTCGCTCCAATAGCATACACCAAGTATAATTTGAAAATACCAAATCTTTCATTTCTGGTGATCTCCTCACTCTTCAGCTTCGCCAAGCGCCAACGGTTTCCATGTAATCGCCATAACTCATCCCTGTCAATAAGGGGGTAGCGTATATGAATCCTGGTCAAATATGCTTGCAAAACTTTGAATCCCATTTCATCATTTGGGGGTTCTGCCCCTTTCAGCAGCTCTTCCGTCCTCCCCTGTCCGAGAGGACCAATAGTGCTCGACGGTTGAGCGGTTGGATCTGACGTCCATTGACTCGAATTTGGTCTATTACCATGACAAGCGAGGGTTTGCTGAACTCGCGAAGGATTAAGGAATTGATTCCACACCGTCGCCTGGACCATCTCTCCAAGATTCGAAGCAAGTGGAAGCCCCGAGCTGGAGCCCACATAGGCCGGAGCCTCCGAATTCAACGCAAGAAACCCAACAAGCTCCCCAACTGCATTATTATCGATGCCAGTGGTTGATGGTCTCTGAGCCGTATTTCGGTTTTCAGAGGACTGGAAAGTAGTCGGGGTGGACTGAGTGACATTGCTACCAGGGCCACTCCTTGCTGGTCTAGCTTCCAGTTCGGACTGAAGATATGCAACACGATCCTCCAGAGAACGGATATATCTGTGATATATTAGCCCGGGATAATATAATTAGAAGTAGAAGAGGTGACTAACCCGTTCTGCTGGCTATTTTCTTGCCGCACGGTATACTTGTCACATGAGGTTCCGGCTTTCTGGCAATTAGAGCAAATCGGATATTCATTATCACACTGTAGTCAATTAACCACTACACTTTATAAGTTTGTCCAATTTACTTACTTTCTGTTTCCTCAGCTTGCACCGCGTGCAAGCCGTCCTACCTCGTTTTCGGGGGTTATAGTCTCTGGACAGCGATAAGGATGGTTCATGTGTTGATATCTCGTGTACATCCATGGCAAAGCATATTTATTACCTGTCATTTGACAATGAGGCGTGATCTGTATGTTGTCCCAACGTTGTCGGAGTTGAGTTGACGGAGGCGCCGAAACGTCGGGATTACCGGAAAGGGAATGCCAAGAAATATCGGCTATAGCTGCTGTGCCCTATTCCTCTTGCGCTCTTTGTGTAGATCTGAGCTAAGCCCAAAGAGAGATATTACAGTATTTGGCGAGCTTAAATCACCGAGAGTCTGACTTTTATTTGCATTAAAAGATTATGATATGTTCTTATGTTGGATACATTGTTGGAAATGCCGTTAATGCAATAATTGATCTACTCTCAAGCAGGAAACAATCCCCAATTCTAAAATTCAACATGGTAGCCGAGCTGGATTCCGCACATCAGCTGGAGGCAATTCCTCAGACTCCTTATTTTCAGAGTTTGGCGCTTCCTCCGTCACTTCGGTGTCGCGCGCCTGCCTTGATTCATCCTGGGTGGCAGACTTCTCTTGATCTTGCTGTTGCTGTTCTTCAATTGCCGCCTCGTGAGGATCCTTTGGTCTCTCCAAACCTCGATCCCGAATGAGCATGCAAGCAATAAAAGCCAATCCGATAAGAGGAACCTGCAAGATAAACACCGCATGAGAAGCCTTTGCATATGCAGTAAGGATGTTCTCCCAATCTGCCGCTGGAATGCTGGACCTTGAAGGTAGACTGTATGTAGAGTGGGCTAAATCTTGGTATCCATCTGGCAGATTGGACTTCAGCGTGGCCTGTAGGAGAGCAGCAGAAACGGCCAATCCGCAAGCACCTCCCAGGCAACGGAAGTAGTTGCGATCTGAGATAACAACGGCACGTTGTGATTTTGTGGCGTGTGCTTGAAAGGCGACCATTGTCGGCTGGAAAGTGAATCCAATCCCGACCCCAGCAATGCCTACGATAACAGCGATGACACCTGGGTTAGTTGTGCGATCGAAAAGCAGCATCAATCCTGCTCCTCTATGAAATTATTAGCACAGTAAAGCAAAAGATGCCTTTCTTAATGACTTACAGCGTCCAGAGACCGAACCCGCACCAAATAACTTCTCCATACCGTTGGAGTCGTGAGATATATTGACCTGATGCGATAGAGGCAATCGATTGGCAGGCGACCATAGGTGCTGTTAGGGCAGCAGAAACAATTGGTGTCCATCCTCGCGCGTTCTGATAGTAGAGTGGCAGATAGTAGAGATAGGCTTGGTAAACGGCTCCCAATAGAAAGCTTTGTAGGAAAAGTGCGCAGATGACCTTGTTCTTGAAGAACACAACTATTAACAGTTAGTACGGACTTATATCAAGACTTCAAGGGACGTACTAGGAAGCATAGGTAGCATGGCTACTTTCCATTCAATGAGGATGAATGCAATAAAGGAGCAACCCCCAATCGTCAACATACTGATGACCATGGGAGAGTTCCAGTTGAAGTAAGAACCACCTCCAGAGATGGGAAGCAGTATAAAGATAACCGCAATAGAAGATGCAAGGATGCCATAGAAATCAATTCTGCCCAAGCTCTTCTTGAAGCCATCCTTCCGGGCATTATTTGGGATGAGAATATATCCAACAACAATCGAGAGTGCAGACAATGGAGAGATAAGCCAGAAGAATCCGCGCCATGTTGATCTCATGATGAATGCTGCCGCTATGAAAGGGCCTATCACATTCCCAAGGCCGAGGGCACCGCCTAGAATGCCCTGATACTTGCCACGCTCTTGGAGAGTCACGACGTCCGATACGATAATCATAGTCAGAGACGTAACGCCACCGCCGGCAATTCCAGCTACTCCACGGAAGACATAGAACATGGCAGCATTTTGCGAAAGACCACACAGCAAGTCCGCAATGCAGAGTAGAGCCAACGCAGATAGATATACAATTTTGCGGCCAAAGATGTCTGAGAGGCGGCCATAGAGTACCGTGAACATTGTGTTAGCAATTAGGGACGATGTGCCGGCCCAGGATATAGAATTCTGTGCATTGAGATCGTTGGCAACAGTCGGGAGGGTGACACTAATTCCATTCTGGTCCACGAAAGTGACGAGTAGCGAGATTGCGAGACCAGAAAAGACGATAATTAACTTGCGAAATGGCAATATATCTGTCTGGTCATGGAGAGACCGCTCTGCGGCTTGTTGCCGGTTCATATTGCTCCAAAGTTCAAACCACGATGCCAGGAACGTCTATTATGTCGCGTGATTGACCATAGCAACTGGCGAGATCTCCGGGCGTGTTTCTCAAGCGCAAATATCGATGTTTAAACCTTGCACAACGCATTCGACAATAGCCGTTCATTCAACACAAACAGCAGCAAGAACCATGGTCATATTTCGAGTCTCAAAATGGAAAACTTTTCACGACAGCAACTCGCTGATCTTTGCGTCAGTGATATTTGTCTTTGACCGAAGCCATACTCCGTATTATGCGCTAACCAACGACGGTCCGTCCGTTATCATGCGTCGGAGACTCTCCCGACGGGCTCGGAGAGTTTGTCTTTTTACGAAGCAGCATCTGCCGCGCCATCACTGTTGGAGGAAGTTCGGATCAGCTATATTAGGATTCTATGGGTCAGCAGTCAAGCTCCTCATCGGACGTCCGAAGCCGTAGCGGTGCAGTTGCCGAATTCCGCAGTGCGGGACTGTTTGATTCACTAATGGCGATACCACGGTTGGCTTTCACTCTGGTTAGTCATGGAAGTCGTTTTTTGATTCATTTATTACTTTCAAGCGCTGGACTTCAACAAAACAAGTAGAAATGAGCACCGAAGATGTGGGAAAAGCCTTATCCGCATCTCCGCTGCAAGATTAATCCCGAACTGGTAACGTCATGTGACCATGGTGTTCTCAGGTTAAGGTTGTATTTGTACGTAGGGATCAATGCTGAAGTATTCATCTTTGTGATGTGATAATATCCAAGATTCAATATCAATGTAGTAGGTCTTTTCCTAGCATATTGTTGCGCTCTGTGGTTCGGTAATGTACCGTGAGTGAACGCCCAGACCGCTCGCCGCTTTTGCTCCGGACGATCAGGTCGGCCACTTCGCAGCCCTGCACAAGCGGTTAGAAGTCCGCCATCAAGAGCCGGTATTGTCTTTTGAACTTTGGGGTCACAATATGGCATCATATGGGTATTTGGAGCAATCCGAAGAGGGTGAGCAAACTGTTCGAAAGTCATTTTTGTCTTGAATCAGCATGCTAACTTCGCTGGCCACAGATGCTCTTCACAAGTCGCGCCTCCTCAACGTCGAAGAAAAGCCATTCAAGCGGATATCGAGACGCCTATTGGACCCTAACTCGTTAGTAGTCACCAACGCTACGCTCCCACCTACACCTCCGCCGGACGACGCAGACGAAGGGGCGACAACCGCCGCCGAAGCCGAAAAACAAAAACGACTCGAAGGATGGCGCCATTTTCGCGAGGACGTGACGTTGGACTTTGCTGCATTTGAAGGAAGCATCGCGCGCATCCAGTTCTTGCTTACGAGCAATGAGAAGGAACGCGAGCGGTATGCGGCTGAGAAACTTCGGATCCTTTCTACTATGGAGGCTGTGCGAGATAACACGGGGGAGTTACGAGGGCAATTGGAGGAGGCGCAACGACTTCTGGCTTTGCGGAAGAGCTACGATGATCTAGCGGAGAAAATCACGAGCAACCGACTTCTCAAACCGCGTGGGGACCAGCAAGCGAACCTCCAGAAACTGCAGGCGGAGATCCTCGACCTGGAGAAGGAGAGCACGGAATATGCCGCGACGTGGTCAGACCGACGCGAACAATTCGGACGTATCGTTGAGGAAGGAATGCAACTCCGGCGCCTCATTCGCGATGAGAAGGAAGAGGTTGAGCGGAGGGAAGGCATGCAAGAAGGTGGTGAAGGAGACGAGGGTGATGCTCCAAAGGGGAAATCCGAAGCAAACACGCCACGCCCCGAGCATGACAGCCCTTCCTCTTCGCAAATGCCAGATGACACTACTCGGCAGTCTTTACAGGCGGATAAGTCTGGCGCAACAAGAGCCGTCTCCCCATTACGACAAGTGACTACGGCTGAGGACAAGCAGGAAAAGTCTGTTGCCGATCAGGAAGATACGAACATGGTAGATGAGGGTGAGGTGGAGGAAGGAGAAGAAGTGCCCGACAAAATGGATACCACATAAATAAGGGTATTCTGCTTTTGTTCATCACATCGCAAGGAACGGAGTTTGTTGGGTCTGGTGGCGTTCATTTTCAGTTATGGCGGGACCTTTCTTAGTTTATATTCATCTCTTGGTGCAATTTTGTCTCATAATTGAAATCAAGACTTTTCAATTCGTAGACACACTATCTATGAAATCTCCCGCTCAGCCGTTTTGGCCTTCGCAATGGCTTCTTTAGCAGCCGTGATGTGTTCGACACTGCTCTCAGAGCCCCTCTTACCCTCCTCAATCTGGCGTCGGGTATCAATATCCACAGCTCTAGTATAATAAAATCCGTTGCAAGGAACTCACCAGTAGACTCTCAAGCATAGCTACTGTGTCCTCAATCTTGGTCTTCAAGCTAGGCAAAACATTCTTGCTTTCCTCGAGTGCACGGCGCTGTTATTCCGGGTGTATTAGCAAGCTTGGACCCATCAATTCTGCAGATTGACATCTTTACATACCTCCTGGTTCAACAAGTATTCTCTGTTCTCATCGCCTTCATCCTGAGCTTCTAGCTTCTTGACCCGCTCCGTCTGTTGCTTGATTTCACTATGATAGGATGCCTCCTCCTTGACCAGGCGCTGGACCGATGATGTGAAGATCTCCAATTGCGAGCGGGGTGCCATGGTGTGCGATTATTTCTATGGGAAACAGAAATTAGTATATGCAATCAGCATCGGCTTCCATGAAGAGTATATATGGGGCACCTCAAGCTCCACTGAGTTATCTGTTCGCCAAACCATAGCAGCTGTCCTATAAAACTGATGCTGTACGTACCTTGTGGGCTATATATTAAGCATTAGATGGCTTTGCCTAACCGACTATCAATGAATGTGATAGCAAAGCGAGGTTCTTGCCATATCACCCCTCCACCGATGACGCTATCCCAAGCAGGCATTTTGCACTGTTTGCTTCGGTGGAGCATAACAGTCACGTGGCTTCCCTCTAGAAATGGAAATCATTCCAAATTACTTCCAGAAGGCATCACGAATATTCCAGCATGTTACTGGTGTCTTAATAGAAAGGCTGCGAGCCTCTCTTCATTTGTCATTTGCTGGAGAACCTTGGCTTTCACCCTTGTATATCGAGTGATCAACACGATGTCATGACCGAGCAACGCCATGTTTACTTACACGAACGCCCTGAACTCTGTTGTATGCACAGCCCGCCCCGTGATACTTATGATGCTTGTGATCCGGACAAGGAAACCACTGCGGATAGGGGTCAAAGCCAGCATCCAACTATGGGCCTTTCATGCGGCTCCAACATAAGCCCTAGCCGTCACAGCCGTACCGTAGATGATGAGGCTTAGAAGGTGACTATCGTGGCTGTCAGATAACAAGAAGGACAACGGGCGCAGCCTTGTCTTGTGCCTGATAAAAAATTGGGATACAAGTACGTCCGAGGACTCCTCTACTTGTCTCTTTCTGTTCATACTCTACAAAATAGCGAATAAGGCTGAAATACTGCTATTATCGAAATTATCTTCTCATTCGATATTGTGAACACCCATTCTTGACTACAAGTATACTATACAGCGGCAAAATGCGTTACGCAATCTCTCGACCAAGCGAATACCTCCTGCTCACAGGAGCAGGAGTCGACGATATCCAGATCAAAAAGAAGGCCTTTGTGATGCCATGGCAGCGAGTGAGTATCTGCTAACGACAAACAATTTCTAGCGGCTCGTACTCCTGAGAAATACTAATAGGTCAAATAGTGTTCAAGAATTTCTGTAGCACCGTTCGACTTCTCGATGAACCTCCAGGCAATGACTAGCGAAAAGCTTCAATTCTCCCTGCCTGCGGTGTTCACCATCGGTCCTGAGACCGGGAAGGACGCACTCGAGAAATATGCTCGTCTCCTTTCTGGAAACTCTGGATCAGAGTTTCAAAAGAATGCTCCTGCTTCCGCTGTGAAGCACCACATCCAAGATATCGTAAAGGGGATTATTGAAGGAGAGACTCGGGTGATTGTCTCTAGCATGTCGATGGAGGAGATCTTCAAAGAACGACAAGTTTTCAAAAATAAGGGTAAGTGCAATAACCTCGGGTATCTTTACTTGTGAGGCTAAGTTTTGAAAAAGTCATTGGGAATGTTCAGAATGAGCTCGAAGAATTTGGGTTAAAGATGTAAGTATTCCCTTACCCTCATTAATACAGCATCTGTATTAATGAGTCATATAGCTATAATGCCAACGTCAAGGAGCTTCAAGATACACCTGGCAGCGAGTATTTTGCCTTCTTGAGTCGCAAAGCTCACGAGGGAGCTCTCAATCAAGCCAGAGTTGATGTCGCTGAGGCCCGGATGCGCGGTGAGATTGGAGAGTCTGAGAAGCAAGGCAAAACAAAGCAGGAAATATCCAAGATTGACGCCGAAACTGCTGTCCTGGAAACCAAGCGAAAGGCCGAAAAGGCCAAGGCAGATGCTGACCTTGTTGACTGTAAAACGGCGCTTAATGCCAGAAATGAAATGAGCAAGATTACTGCAACGCGCCAGAACGAGATGAAAGAAGCAGAGTTGCAAAAGCAGCTCCAGGCTAAAATGGCGGAGACTGAGCTGGAACGACGTAGGGCGAACGAAGTCACCAAGAGCAAAGTTGCGCGCGAGGCTGCGCAGGAAACTGCTAACGCCTCTTACTACACGGAAGAGAAGGCAGCAGATGCACACTTGTACAAGCGAAAGATGGAAGCAGATGCGTTGTGTAAGTTTTCTTTCATCCCATTTGGGGTTGAAGCCAGCTGACCCCATTCTAGACTACCGACAGAGCAAAGAAGCAGACGCTGCTTTCTACAAACAACAGCGTGAGGCTGAAGGTCTGCTAGAACTTTCTAAGGGATATGGTGCTCTTGTGGACGTTCTCGGTGGTCCTCAAGCCTTCCTACAATTCCAGATGATGCAGAATGGTACCTACGAGAAGCTGGCGCACGCAAATGCCCAAGCTATCAATGGCCTTCAGCCGAAAATTACTACGTGGAATACCGGTAAACACTCTAGTTCTCCCTGGCAATAAACATGGTTCTAATATTCAGCATTAGGAAACGGTGACGTTGGCGACTCAGCGGCACCAATTCGGGATATCATGCAGAACCTTCCTCCACTTTTGAGCACGATCCAAGAGCAAACCGGTATCTCTCCACCGACATGGTTGGCTCAGATGCCCAATGGCTATTCTAAGGACCCTAATATTACGAAGGCATCTAGTGGTTGAAGCCTACAGGAACTACGAATAAAGTATGGACCTCTATCTGAGGTCGATGAGCCCTTGTTTGCTGTGATTTAAATATACCCAGTTTTATTTACTCTATTCAATTGGCTAAATTACAATCCCATACTTTCATATTTGACAGCTTCATCAGGTAGATTTTATGTATGAGTATGATATTCCGTCCGTTTTCTCCCGTCGTAGGTTTGTTCTTGCCTTTCTCTCAACCCTTAGATTGATATCTGCCCTATTGAGTGACTTCCCACGCATAGCTTTTAGATATCGGCTATCGTCCCGACCTCCTTGGCTCAGTCAACTACACTTCTCTTTCTTCTCTGTTTCCTATTTGAGAATCTGTTACTGTCTCAATGGGCTTTTCATTGACAAGTCCTCATTATAAGCCCTTCCATTAGTGGGCACCAGAAAACCCCGGTCCTCCAACTATCGAAATTTCCCACGATGAATGACCCCTCAGGCGGTGCTCCTTTCCAAGCGGAGAGCCTCAAGGAAGGTAACCGGTATGTCAAAAGTCTATACCAATGTGCTGCTGATGGCACTCCATCAAAGGGCATGCTTGAGGATCTTCAGAGACCAGCTCGGCCGTTGACGAGTGATGAGGAGGTGCGAGCTCGCCTGTATGAGCGCTATCTTCACGCCGGAGGCCGGGTCTTGAGAGAATTGTTGCCTAAATTACTGCCACGATCTGATCGCTCTGTGTTCACTCATGGTGATATTGCACCTTGGAATGTCATGGTCGATGACCAGAACAAGATCACGGACATCCTTGGTTGGAAATTTTGCAGGTTGGTACCCTGACTATTGGGAGTATGCGCAGATCATAAACGTTCCTTTCTCGGACTGGTCGGAGTGGATGGAACGGACCGCGGCTCACCAATGGGATATCGATGGGATTGATGCTGTCGTGGAGATTGTGTCCTAGACTTGATGCATCTTCCGTGATACTTGTATGCTGTGTGGCGTTCGGATGCTAGAGGCATACAAGGATTGTCCAGAACAGTCTCTGAGTACTCGCTGCCGTCTGTCCGTCATATTTCTTGTCCTCATCGGTCGGTTGAAGGTTTGATTTTCACTTACGGGATACCTGTCGTCTATCGCACTGTACTCCGGCGAACACGCGCAGCGGCCAATGATATCATGTGACAGTGCTCCGCCTTGGATCATCGCCGGCGCATCATTTCATTCAACTCCTCTCCATGTAAATACTCGACTGTTGCTGGTGAATGTCTTCAATGTCTCACTATTTTCTAGATATTAATCCCTCGTCCGGGTATTCACAACATCAAGAATCCTTAATGCCACCAATTTTATATTCATTTAATCCCTCCTATTCACCACAATGCCGGCCCCGTCGCTCCTTCAACTGTCCATGGCGGCTGCCGTCAAAAACATGAAGTGTAGGGAACCCCAGTAATGTTTTCCCGATACAGGTGTCTAACCTTTGCTTGCTTGTATAGACCTCGACGATATTGGCAGCATACCATATTCTCTTGCTCGACCATTCCTTCTGAAGATCGAAAGCCCCGAGAAACTGGTAAGTACCGATCAGTCGCATCTAGTTCCGAAGGGCATAAGCTCACATATTATCCTCTAATTCTAGCGATCGATTGAGTTGCAATCACCGCATATCATGAAAGACAATGAAGAATTGTGGGTCGGTTTCATCAAGCGGGACATCCCCAAGTGGGAAGAATACGATATCCCCGAGAACCCCGAGTCCTGGTACCAAGTCTACTGCGATCTCCGAGAACGAGTGCAAAGGGAAGTGGATAAGGATGCGGAACAATTAAAACAGGCCATGGAGGGCATCAATTCGAGGCGCGCCCAGCACAGTACTAAGCTCGTGACCGACCAGCGCCTTCCCCCGATGAAGCCGACAGAGAGAGCACGATATGCCGCATATGATAGGAAGAAAGGTGGTATTACACCGGTTTTCGCTTCTTCTCCTTCTTCTTCTTCTTCCGGGATCTCGGCGGATCCGATGGGAGGTCCTGCGTGGTCGTTTGAGCGGCCGCAGATTCCACGCTCGTTCTCGGGGGATGGAAAGAAGAAGAGCAGCATCTTCTCTGCGCCGAAACGGAATAAAGCCCTTGCTGTTCCGACTGGTCAACTGCACAACAGGGCGTCGCAAGTCAGAATGGCTCCACGTTCTCTTGTTGAAGCGCATCGACAACCGTCTGAACCACTGCCTGCACGAAAGGCTACTCCAACTGCGAAATCGCATCCAGCTTTGAGAGCACCCGGACGTACCAGGTCGCAGCCTGCGTTCGGATCGAATAATCCTGTTATTATGCCATCTTTGCAGGAAAGAGAGGCGAGATTGCGGGCTTTGACTTCGGGGAAGCCTGTTAGCTCTTCAGCCTCGAGAACACCAGCACAAACATCCACACCAGCAACCGGAGGTTCATCCCCACCATTACCAGCCAAAAGAATGGTCGATGATCTTTTCGAAGCTTCACCAGGGCCCGGGTCTCAAGATGATACGCAAGAACCGAAACGAAAGGCCTTGAAGCCTGCTAGTCTAGAGCCAACATCGGATACGAGTCAGTCCAGGACACCACCAGCACAAGCGCCACGCATCGCAACGATCCGCAAGAGACCTGCTCCGAGCATCTTCATGCCACCAAAGAAAAAGAAGGTGACCTGAAAGAATTACTGCAAATTGAAGAATCGACCATTGCGATGGGATATTTATAATTTCGGATTTTCCGGGGCGCTATAGCGGACTTTTTGTCTATTTTATTCGCACTTTATGTCATTATATTGGACCGGGAAACGGCGTTTATATTTCATTCAAGGAGGTTTGGTATTTAGCACACGGCGAAACTGCATCAACATATATAAGTATTTTCTTTCATCTTCCTTGAGAATATTTGACCTGGATCTTGATCTATACTTGTTTAAAATCGGGTACTAGAACATTTGAACTATTCTTTTGTCAGTAGTAAGTGCTCTTTCCACTCACGCTATATCTCACTGTTCAGCATAGAACCCTCTCATATGAAGCTGAAACAAATCTCTCTATCTTGGGTACAAAACCGCACACACGATTGCTCGCAAAGATCGCATCCGAAACAAACTTTTTTCATTTCATTGGCAGGACATCATCATCGCATAAGGTATTCATATTGGTATCCGTATCGGTATTCGTAACCGAAAGCAAAAGGCAAGTAAAGTAGACTTGTTCGACTCATGGACTCAATCCGCACCGAATCCGATTACAAGGAACCGCCACGAAGCGCAAGGACAAGATGCAGCGTTGCACCCCCTTCAAGGTTATATTCAGAGGCTGTTTTGTCGTCTGCCCTGTATTGTCCGACGTTTTTGTAAGCTGGCTGTTCGAGAAAGGAGAGGAGATGGTGGTGGTGGTGGTAGAATGACGTGACGTACATCTGCTTTCCGCCGAAAATCAGGCGCTGCTGGACCGGGGGGATGCCTTCTTTCTCTTCAACGCGCTCCTTTATTCTGGAGACCTGGATTTGATTTAGTACGGGGTTCCTTTTGACTGCGGTTATAGATATTGCGGATCGACGGGTTCGGGATTCGCAGGTCAAAGTACCTTGTAGTCAGGCTCGATATCTAACTCGATCTCCTTGCCAGTGAGGGTGCGGACTCTATTAACACGAGAATGTTAGCTAGCTGCTGCAGGACTCCAAAACCCGTTCCGATGATGCAACAAAATAACCACGCGGGCACTCACTTGATTAACATTTTGACGGAAGATTAGCGCAGCTGAACTGGTCTAAAAGAAGGAGATATAAGTGAAAAAAAAAAAACTAGAAAAACAGACGCTTTGCGAAAACGACGGATCTATGGAGGAAAGTGTTGTTGTTGGGCTTGTTGGAAAGTAAAAAGAGCTTCTTCGCCGCGGCGGGGTTCCAAAAAGGTGGGGAGATGGATGGGCGGTGATGCGGTGATGCGGTGATACAAGTACATGCAGCTGTAGCAAACAGTAGGAAAGCGAAGATACTCTTATCTAGTTGGAGAATTGCATAGATTGTTTTCTCTTTACATTATTTGGCCGTCCTGGTTATGCATTACTGGAAGAATCTAAAGAAGCATTCAGCTCTCCAACTATATATATTCATGCAAGTGCCTTGAGGCTGTACACCAAACAGGCGATTATTTCCATTTCTCACGAGTACGAGCAAAATTGAAACCGACATTCCAACCCACAAGAACAACACACAAGAGCTCGAAGATAAATTTACTATGGCGCAGATAGCTCCAAACCAGAATCCATTCCAGCAGCTCATTTCGGAGTGTGACAATGACCCAGTAGGATGCATCCCCCCCCTCAAATCAAACACTTTACTACATGGAGACAACTGAATTATCAATCTACGCAGACTCGACTACAAACTCGATACGAGGTCCACCGATCTGCAAGAAACGCGCAATATAAAGCCACTATCCTCAGTCCAGATTTCCCCGGATGGACCCTCGACGACGTCCTGAGCAAACTGCACGCTCAAGAAACTGGCAAGAATGAGGGTGAAGAACCATTCATCGACCACAGAAACAACCTTGCCTTTTATGCTCGTCCGCCAAAGCATATCCGGGATCTGGTTGGTGAGATCCAGCGGAAGTTGCGAAGCGTTGCTCCATGTTAGTATTCCATCTCAGAATTGGTGTCCTGATAATTGACAATAACAGCCATCTGGTTTACGCCGTCCGAGGGCTTGCACATGACCACTCTCGAACTAGCCAATTCGCGAACCCGCTCAGAATTGGATACCATTGTCTCTGAACTGGAAGCAACTGGCACAATTCCAGAATTGGTCGAGTATACAAGCAACCACCGATCACGCCTGGTCAGGCCTATTATCAGCTACGATACATCAGCAATGGCGTTGAGCTTCGTCCCGGCAGCCGGAGAGGGGACCGATGACATAGAAAGTGGTGCGTATAGCTATCATCATCTGCGACGGGACCTATACGATCGAGTCGCAGAGACGGGCATCAAAGTGATTCCTAGGTATATTGCTCCTTCTGCGCATGTCACAATTGCACGGTTCATTAAGCATAATGGGTTCTTGCTTGATCAGGATGGCCCTGATGGGAGTCGTGTTGATCGTGAGCAGTTGAAAGCATTTATGGAGAAACTTGAACAAATCAACAAGGAACTGCAGCAGAAGTACTGGCCTAGTGAGGATGGTAATTTTTCCTCAGGCGAATGGGTTGTGGGGCATGAGAAGGGCTTGGAGTTGTGTAAGGGTGCATCGTGGTATGGAAAGGGAGAGTGTGTTCTTATCGGAAAGGGATTTAACTGATAATCAAATAATCAACTGCCTTTCTCACTCCACAATCAAATTGGCAGCATTCATAAAGATCATCGTAGAAAAAAATATTTATGCCTGAGGCATAAAGACACAGTCTTGGCACTATTCCCAAAAAGGTTAGGCTCAATCCCGATAGGGCACTAAGCGAACGAAATCCCACAATCCACGTCCAGCCCGACTTGAACCTCTCCGACAAGTGACAATCCACCGACCACCAAACTCGCGATCCGGCCAAGTCAGTCAAAATGGTAAGGAGATACTGTCCCTTGATTTTCTACTTCCAGCTGTTTCCTCCGGAGAAAATTGGATGAAGTTCGAATTATCGGTGCGGCGAGGCGATTTTTTTGTGCGAGAGCGTCAATGATTCGGATACGACACTTGCTTTTCCACTTTGCGGTCGAAAGAAGAATTGGAAAATTCCGTCACAAACGAGAATACAGTCGAATTTTCATGGTACTTGAGACAATAGGGCAAGGCCGCGACCGCGGACGAGCACATCAAGAAATGCTTTTCGAAAATCCCGGCCGATGAACCCGTGCGCTATCAAATCTCCCAATCAAACGAGCTGTCGATACTCGCTACTCGAGACCGTCACCGATTCGATTTCAACATTTTCTCCGATGAACAGAGGAACATGGACCGGCAACAATCATATCTCGTGAGAACCGAAGGCTGATTCTTATCTCTCCGCGCCTCCAGGTCAACGTTCCGAAAACCCGCCGGACGTTCTGCAAGTCCAAGGACTGCCACAAGCACACCCAGCACAAGGTTACCCAGTACAAGGCTGGCAAGGTGCGTCACTTCCTCTCATTCGACACGGTCACAAGAGGACAACGACGCTGATACAAATGTGATATAGGCCTCGCTGTCCGCTCAGGGTAAGCGTCGTTACGACCGGAAGCAGAGCGGTTATGGTGGTCAGACCAAGCCCATCTTCCACAAGAAGGCCAAGACTACCAAGAAGATCGTCCTGCGTCTTGAGTGCACGCAGTGCAAGGCCAAGAAGCAGCTCTCTCTGAAGAGATGCAAGCACTTCGAGTTGGGGTATGTTTCCTTGTTTTGTCTTCAGTTGTCGATGCGTATGCTAACCGCGTTTCCTTCTAAAGTGGTGACAAGAAGACCAAGGGTGCTGCTCTTGTCTTCTAGGCGTGTGATTTCCTTGTTCGGCTCTGGGTTTCCTGCTATGCGCAAACCGCTTTACGTACAGTGGCGGTGGGGATATGACATTGGCAATGGCAAAAAAATCAATGAAATAAGAGTTCATACCTAAAACTTTACGGGTTCCGATTCTGCTGGCTATCGTAGGATTCGCCGCGACACTTCGTCGTAAGGATGAGTGCTGTGCGGTATACGTCCGAGCTGTTCATGACCTCTTGAAAATCCCTTTTAAGCCATACGGACCTTTTCTTCCCACGCTTCCCCCAGAATCTTGATTCATAATACAACTCTTGAACATTCCCTACCCTGCACCGTACAGATACACGACATGAACCATCAATAATCCTTCTGCATAACCCTCTTCACCACAGGAACTTCCGCCCCATCAACCTCCAACTCCCTCTTGATCCCATTCCCGTTCCTCAACATCTTATCCTCCCCCAAATACTCCTTCTTCCCCGCCTTATGCACCCTCCCATTAATTATAATAATATCCAACCGATCATGATCCTGCAAAATCTCAATATCCTCCAACGGATCCCCATTCACAAGAATACAGTCTGCATAGTACCCCGACTGAATCTTTCCCAGTTCATGTTCTCGCATGAAAAGCTTCGCGACACCCGCTGTGGCTGCGATAATAGCCTCATGTGGTGTGAAGCCAAGTAACTTGGTGAAATGCGCGAGGTCGCGAGCATATGTACCATGTGGTGTCCAAGCAAAGCCATAGTCTCTGCCCTTTGTTAACATCTGATTCAGTGACAGATCAGAGGAGGAAGGTGAAGTAGGGTCTGACTCACCCTCCCGGCAACAGGACAATGCCCCGACGATGCATCTCGCGCATTGCAAGAACTGCTGCTTCGATCTCGGTCTTGTAGCCTGCTGCTTCTGCTTTGGAGCGTGAGTAGCCGAAGCGTTCGCCGTCTTCGAGGGTGTTTATGGGGAAGTTCAAGGCGGGGACGACGATGTGTTTCGTTTTGTTGGCTTCGAGCATGTTCATTCCTGGGACATTAGTCACATGCTGGATCCAGAGGGGGAATGCTGCGTACCTTCGTCGTCGATGTATGATGCATGGAATATCACGTCCACACCCTGTCGAATGCACATGGCTATCGAGTCACGGCCTCTTGCGTGGGCGCATAGTCTTCGGCCGTGTTTGTGGGCTTCGTTGACGCATGCTGCTGTTTCTTCGTTTGTGAAATAGCATTCGTCTACTGAACGGTCTTCTGTGATCTTTTCCAATCAATTTACGTTAGCAAGAATTTTAATTCAAGAAGTAAATCATTACATACCGGCTCTCCTGACATGCTAAGTTTAATTTGATCTGCAGTCAACTCAACATGTCGACGGATGACCTCTCTCATTTCATCCGGGCCGTCAGCGTAGGCGCTGATCCCTGGCACTAGATCGCCATCTCTTCGACAAATTTCTTTGGCGTTCGCGAGATAGCGAGGTCCCGGGATGTCGCCGGCGTTAATGGCGTTGCGTGCCACGACGTCTAGTCTATCCTTTGCGGATGCTGCACCCCAGCACCTACTATCTGAGTTAGCATGAGATATGGAAAAGGAATGGAACAGATAGCTGACATGGTATATCCCGAATCTAAAAAGCATTGGGCGCTCTTTGCTGTAAGCAGAGTATGTTCTTCCACATCAAGCTCGCCTAGCCGGGCCAGATCACCCCCGTTCCATGAGAGATGGGTATGTGCATCACCCAGACCGGACATTAGAGTCCTACCTCTGCCGCTGAATGTGCGAACTTTGGGGTTTCGTTTTAGTTCATCTTTATTGAGGACGTTTCCTACTGCGGTGAATCGCTCTCCTGATACTGGTTAACTGGCGCCAACAAATGTGAAGGATGGAGTTCAATGCACCTTCGATGAGAACGTCTCCTCGATACGGCTTTTTCTCTGTTGAGTCCAGGATCCGCACGTCTGTTATTAAGATCTTGGAGTCTGGATGTGTGCCAAAAATCTCATAATTCTTCGGTCTTAAACGCCCATCAAATCTGACTTCATCGATTGGCTGAATATTCCGTGGAGGACCATCATAGGGTTCAATAGTCGACATGGATTGAAACCAAGAGACTTTGGTCCTAATTGGTAGAGATGGCACCATAATGTCATAGAGTTAAGAGTAATCTTCAACAATCCGAACGGTGCTCGAGATTTAAGATGATCTGGTCAGATAGTATGGTAAAATCATTTTAAAGGACTTGTTCCTCAAGAATGCGCATAATAACAGTAACCAATAACTATCCCAGCCCCCGTGCATCAACTCTCGTCACACTCAGAATCATAGTTATCACTGTAATCTACACTGGCCAGTGCTCCTTCGGAATCAACAGTAGTCATCACTAGACGAGTTTTGAAAATGGAGGGCCGTCAAAGACGCATTATACAAGGCCATATAGCGCCCCCCAATTTAGTACCTTCACTATCCATGATGGATTTATGGGTCCTGTTGGAGCTGGCCGTATCTCCATTATCTCCATTATCATCTTATACATCATACTTGTACATAGTACACAAAGTGGAGAAGACGATCGCGTGGAACACGAGCTTTTTTATCACCTCTTCTTCTTTTCGTTTTCAGATTAAACTCCACTCCAATCAAAGCTGGAACAAAAAGAATAAAGCAAGTATCTTTGTCTCTACCAAGAAAAACCGTAATTGCAGCCGTAGAAAGAGACTTGTGAGATGTTGCAGCTGGCCATGGGGTTCGAGCCAGGTCACTAAATTGTCCGTACAGAGTAGGGACTGCCAAGTGATCATCTTCGAGGAGTCGTACTGCGGCTGGCTCGTGTTGTACTTGGGGGACGCTAGAGTAGTTCAGCCAGCTAGATGGTAGTATTATTGCCACGGGATGTGTCTTCATCTCTTCGAGCGTTATAGCGCTATGGATTAGTAGCGTTGAGATTCTTGTTAGTGGGAGATATGTTTATTTTATTGAGAGCGAAGAATCAATATTGAATTCTCATCTGAAAGAGAATATAGAAACCATCTATTTACCAGTGCTTAGAGAATGGATATGAGGGATGCTGATGCAGCAGTGAGAGGCCACGGGATTCTCAGCAGGACTGAAGTCGGACGCACTCCCAGCCAGGCTTGTCTATTTGTTTCTCATACTCATAAAGTTATTGGCCATTCCTAAATGCAGTAAGATCTCTATCATATTGTTTCCGCATCGTCTTTTATGCATCTTCCCCGCTCCAGCGAACAGACCCCGATTCAACAAATGCCGGGTGTTAGCCTTCATTCTTCACCGCGGTTGGTTTACATGTATATGACAGTCATAGTAGATTTGTCCTCGTCTTCACATAACCGCGGCTCTGTGATCTCGTAAGTATACCAAATCGGTCATTCTCCGAATGGCTGGTTTAACATTGTTATACTTCAATTTCGGTCCGTAGGACGTCGGTCACGTTTTGAATACTTTAGACAGTTTTATAATAAACGCGGGGCTGTCTTAATTCCAGTCTGTTTTTAACTATTTCGATCGATTGATACTATTCAACTGGTGTAGATGGCTATGTGGTACGCATTTGGCGTTGCGCTGTTTGCCGCTATCGGCACTTTTCTATTCGTATGTTTACCGGCTTTCGTTAGTAAGGCAGGGCCGCAGGGCATAGCAGGGGCTCTAACTGGACTAGGGCTTTGATACTGGCATTGCGACAACTAGTAAGTAATAATCCGAGAGATTGTCAAGCAAAGACTAAAAGGTTGTCTTAGCGATTGCTCATCAAAGCTGGATTGATTATATGAACAATCCCTCCGATGGACTCACCGGTGCTGTAAGTTGGAGCCCAAACTATCAAACGGAGGACATCGTCTGACGTGCACAGGTTGTCGCTGTCTACATCGCCGGCGAAGCAGTTGGCGCCTTCACGCAAACCTTCATCGGTGATAGACTTGGTCGTCTCCGGTTCATGGAGATGATGTGTGTTGTTGTCACGATTGGAACGGTTATTCAGACTGCATCTGTTAACATTGGAATGTTCCTTGCGGGTCGAGTACTCGCTGGATATGCTGTTGGGTGAGTCTCATACATACGTATGAGACTGGTGCTAATGCAGTGTGAAGTGGCCTAGTCGGCACAGTACCAATCTACCTCAGCGAAATATCCGATCCCCGCTACCGCGGCCTAATCGGAGGAATCTCAGGCTGCGGCATCTCCTTCGGAACAATGGCCTCGAACTGGGTAGGTTACGCCTGTAGCTACGCACCCTACGGCCCTGTACAGTGGCGTCTTCCTCTCGGTATACAGATACCTTGGGGAATCATCATGTTCATTGGATTGATTACCTTCATGCCAAATTCTCCACGCCAATTGATTCGAAGCGGAAAGATCGAGGATGCACGCAGGGAGTTTGGTCAGATTCGACGGGATTTGCATTCTCATGAAGTGCAGGAGGAGTTTAGACTTATGAAGATGCAAATTGAGTATGAAATGGAGAGGGAGATTACTTCTTATAGGGAGATCTTCAAGCTTTTTCGGCGTCGGGTTTTGGTGTAGGTTGTCCTCTGTTGGAGTTTTGTGGTAATGCTAATAGGATGTTAGGTCTATTGCTGTTCAGACTATGACGAGTCTTACTGGTGTGAATGTGATCCAGGTAAGTGGTCAAGTTATATGGAAGTGATATAGCTGCTAACACATAAAAGTACTACCAAAGTGCGCTACTTCCTACTCCATTCTTCAGAACATTCTACTGACAACTATAGCCATCCTCTACAAATCTCTAGGCATAGACTCCCATACCATCCTTGCCCTAGCCGCAGTATACGGCACCGTAGCCCTCATCGTCAACTGCCTCACAACCAAATACCTAACCGATCAATGGGGTCGTCGAAAGTACGTCCACCCTCCCCCATCTCATCCAGAAACAAGGAACAATTAACAAATTAAATTTTAGGATGCTCCTCTCCGGCTTAGCAGGAGTCATCCTCGTCGAGATCTATGCGGCCGTCATGCAACGAGAATTCCAGAACACCGATAATCGAATCGGGAAGGGTTTTGCTATTCTGGGAATTTATCTGTTTGTCGTGGCATACTGTCAGTACTAACTTTAACCCATATCAAGAGATATGAGGCTAATGGGATTGCATAGATGGTATGCTAAACAGTACAACCTGGTTATACGGCGCTGAGGTCCTACCAATTGCTCTCCGGAGTAAGATCATGGGACTAGCGGCTGCGTCTCATTTTATTGTTAATGTTGCAGGTTCACCTCCTTCCTCTGTTTCAATTATCAATAGCTATACTGATATCACTGGTTGTAGTCACCGAAGCAGGCCCAAGCGCATTCGCCAACATCCACGAGAACTACTACTATGTTTTTGTCGCATGTACGCTTTCCTTCTTGGTTATTGCATATTTCTACTTCCCGTGAGTATTTCATCATCCTGATAGCGGAAATCATTTTGCTGACTATGCTCGATACTAGTGAGACGAAACAGAAGACGCTGGAAGAAATTGCATCCGCATTCGGTGATAAAGTCATTTTACCAGACGAAAGGAGTAAAGATGGAGATGGGAATGAAGATGGAGATGGAAAGACTGATTCACAGCATGTGGAAACTGTATCTGTAAGACAGAGCGGTTGATTGATCCATTGGATCTGTTGGGAGGCATACACAGTGAGCGATGCTTACTAGATCAAGAACTGGATAATGATTTGCTTTTGGTTTATCGGCTCAATTAATATTATATATATCTGCTATCATTCAGCTCACTCATTCAGCCTCTTCGCAGAAACACTTCTATACACCCAATGGAGAGAGCTGTTCCCGACAGCACGATGTTCTGTTGTTCCAGCCAAAAAAAAAATCACCCTAGTACACCCCAAAACACCATACCTAATACCAAAATCCCCACAAATTAACCATGCTGCATCCCAAACCCCTCCGCCGATAAAAACCCCCATCCATCCCACGGGATCGCAGCCGGACTAACCCAGTTCTGTGGACTCATCTGCGCGAAGAACGGATCCATGAGAGATCCATCTATCATTGCTGCGGGGGTGGAGTGGTGTTGGCTGTATGGTGTGTTTATGCTGGTGTGAGCAGCAGGGGAGGAGTGGGCTGTTGATGCCATTGGAGAGAAACTTAGTAGATGTTGTTGGTGTTGTTGATAGCGGGTTGTTGCGACGTCGCTTTGCACTCATTAGTATTGATGCCATGGGAGGGGGAATAATAAAAGGAACCTACATGATCCGTCGTAAAATAGGCACAGCCTTACTGCAAAATGCACTGCGGTTTGATAGCGCAGCGAAGGCATCAAGCGACTTCCAGAGTATATCCTTTATTTCGACGAATTCCGCCTGACTTTCTGGATTCATGAGGATAACCGACAGAACGACCGCGGCGTGGAAGGCATGGAAGCTCCCCAAACCGCTATTATACCATTTATACGGCGCGAATTGGGGCGATTCGGATAGCGATGTATAGATAGTCAGCGATGCCTTGGAAGAGGCAACGCATTTAGCCCTCGAAGTAGATGTCTCGGGTGTGATTTCGCCCTGGAAATACCGACAGAGTGTGGGACGAAGAAGTAAGAGGAATAGTTGATGGATGTAGCTGTAAAGAATATTCATGTTGGCTATGTGGTGTGTTGGTAGTGGTTCATGCGTTGTATCGAGCTGGTACCGCTCATTGCACATCTCCTGTATAGCCACGATATCAGACTCAAGTTGCGGTGTGCTAGTTCGAGACCTGTAGGGAAAGCTAAAGATAGATTCGCAGATCATGGCGGAAACTTTGTATAGACGGAATTTTAGAAGGAGATATGTCATTTGTGTTGGGCGCGGTGCTGGTTCCGAGGGTGATCCTGTTAAGAGGTCGACGTCGTTGACATCTGAGGGGAGCTTGACGTCTTGCGCAAGGAGGCGCTGGTCCAGACTACCGAAGGAGGCATTTTGAATGGTGTACAGCATCATTAGTCCAGCCCATGCGCGTCTTCGTTCCTCACGCTCGATAGGGCCTAGACCGAATCTTTCAGGGTCGATATGGCAGCCCATCGAGATGGCGACGTGATGTGTGAAGCCGATGAGTGTCCATGTTGGCAATCCGCGGTGTGAGCGGGCGTAGTTAATGAGCACGAGACACTGCAGGGAGTTGATGGAGTGTCGCGATACGACGCCGTCTGCTGCTAAGCAGCGCATTGCTGCGGAGCGGTAGCGCGCTGATAATACTTTGATGTTGCGACTGACTGTCTTTTCACGGCCTAGATCGGAGAGTAAGGGATCGTTGTCGTTAAGTGCAGTCACTGCTATGCCTAGGATGGTGAAAAGTAGTGCTAGCCATGATGTTGATACGCTTCCGGCGTCGTGTCGGAATTGTTGATATTCTGCCTCGAAGGTCAGATCATGGAGAATGTGGAATAGCTGCCCGCTATTAGTCTGCTATCCATTGCGAAATGAGAATATGGTCTTACTGGCGAAAACACTTGGAAGTAAACATTCTTCAAACCATCGCAATATCTCCCCGGCGGAAGAACCCCCAGCAACTCACTTCTCGAAGAACTCCCATTTTTAACCAACGGAATCTGCAAGTCATCATCATCGTCCGGAATCTCCGTATCGACATTCTGCAAACAATCACCAGTCGAACTCTTATTCACCACCGAATTCCACTGCGATGCCAACGGCATATATCGAACATGCCCTGAAGAAAACGTCTGCAGAGATCCCATATTCGCCATACCAGAGCCCATTGATTCCAGTGGCCCCAGCCCAATAGCACTATCAGGTTCCGACGAGCTCGACGTCTGCGGAGAAAGAGAGTCGCTAGGCTGCAACCCAGCTAGCGAGTTCGATCTCGCTTGTCTCTGAACTAAATCCTCGAGATTGCGAATCCGCGCGAGTAACTCTTGCTGCACAAGTGAATCTGGTGATTGTTCGGATGATAGTCGCGGTTGGCCTAGGTAGACACAGTCCTCTGCGCCCAAGCCTCGCCGTACACATGTTTGGCACGGTCGTTTGTCGCGAGAACAGCGGATTTTTCTAATTCGACATGCCTGGCAACTTATGGGTAGGCGTTTTCCGCCGTGACGAGTTCCAGAGGTCATTGTGTTGAATATTCAAAAGTACGAATGATGTCGTTCACCGTTCAATTGTCCCCGCAATATACCTGCTGCGTATGAGGAGCGAGCCGAAGAGCGACCAAGACGACCATCCGATTATGAACAAAAAATAAGAATGAACCGAAACCAAGAAGCCACGGGAGTGATAGCTTAAAGTTGGGCACAGATGACGGTTCCAGGGGATGATGGTATGTTCTCTTCACTTCCGCATAGCGGCACAAGCCAACGCCAGCCTCGAAATGCAACTTTTTGTAAAAATTGGGCGCTTTACAGCTGGCCTGCAGATTAAGGCCTGTAGGCGACTCTTTCCCTTAAAATTATGCTTGCTTTTTGCTTGGTTCTCTAGACCCGCAGTGGCTGAAGGAAAGATAGACTCCGAGATTAAGATCTCTGCTGCATTAACAGCTAGTGCTTCTTTCTTTCTATAAAACCCACATGATCTGATGCAGAGAGGTTGCAACTTAGACGAAGTAGTGTTTATGTCTCTTTTATTGCTGATTACCCGGTGTTAAAAAAAAGAAAAGAAAAAGAAAAAGAAAAAGAAAAAGAAAAAGAAAAGGTGCAGCGAATGCCCGAAACCCAGATGGATATAATGAATTGGACCACCCGTGGGAAACACATGTCATTCCCAAGCGTATGGCCAATCCTGCATAATTTACACACTCGTAACTCCTATCGGTGTTGTCCGAGGGACCCTGTACCAATCAGATATCAACCAGTAACAAGACCGAACTGTAATTTCCACCTGTCTCTTTGTTGCGAATATAGAGACAAAAGCCGGGATGGTCGTAGCGTGATCACTGGATCCCGATATAGGAGCCAAATTCAAATGCATTTACTGAACTTGGCAATCGGGCTCCATAGTGGCTCTTCCGGAGTTCCTCGGTGTCTGTCAGATAGCGGCTGTCACTGTAGACCTTGGAGCCTATCCACCGCAACACAGGATAATCCCTTGCTTGTCTGCAGCTTATCTTAAGGAAAATATCGATCAAGGAGTCGCTGTGCTGATTCGCACTATAGGCAATGTGTCGCCCTCGTATAATAACATCCATGTAGCTTTGGATCCGTCTTGAACCGTACTCTTATGCTATTCGTCCGGAAATGATTCCTGCGCGTGGTCCGCAGACCCTTGCCAGAATGAATGCTATTTCCTCGCGAACAAAGAACATGCAACTGCTAGTCGGATCTGCATCGGAGAGGTCGACGGTCAATCGGACGCGTATCGGAAGAGATCAAAATGCTAATGTCCGAATATCTAAGTGCTATTAATTTCTGTTTGCTACGATAACTTAATGACATTTTATTCACCGTGTCGAGTAGCGTATAAGTTGCTTTATCTTGATGGACATAGGAACGCAGTACTTGTATATAGTGGATCTGTCGTTAGAGATCTATCGTTATCTTGATCTTGGATAAATAGGGCTCAAAAAGGTCAGGCCGTATGATGGAGAAGCTTATTTATATTGAGAGCTGACTGATAGTGCATCAAGCTTGCCAGATTTCTGCTAGAAATGGGCTTTATGCGTCTATACACGCTACTTGGGGAATATCTGACTACTTCCCGTTGAAAGATGAAATGGATTCCGTCGGAGGTTCAGGGGAAACCGGAGGAGTCGATCATCCGACTGCACGAGGCCTATATGTAGAAGACCCAATTAAAACGAACGATTGATATACTCTATCTAATGTAGCCTAGAGTACACGGGTGCTTGAGTGCTTGATGAGTGCTTGTCTTTCTATATGTGGCGAACGCTGGCCATATATCGGAGGTTCGCTAGTCGGACTAACGTTATCCCTTTGATCCGACCTATCAGATCTCATCAAAAGATGCCTCAATCGCCATGGTGTGCGGTTTGTAGGGACTTACTGACAACACTACATTCTGTCGCCGATTTTGAATTCCTGAAATCATGCCAGGACACTATCGAAGCATATATTTTTCGCAACATCTCAGATGGAGCCACTATGACACCCCGATGCGAAAAACTGTACATAGCACACCCAGCAACTCACCACCACTCAACTCTATCTCCTCATTCCATTGCTACCAACGACACCTTCGTTTATTATTTCTAAACACACGAATCTAATTTACTAATGCACCTTTGCCATGCCCCCACTGTACCCGTAAAAATGAGGCTGAAGTGGGGGTCCATCATCCAGCCAGAACATGGTAATAAATAAACATTTCCCCCCTATTGCCAAAGCCATTCTAACCAGATCTATACAGACAATGGAAATAGACTACGCACATCTATCCTACTATCCTGATCGCGAGGAATCCGCAGCGCGGACAAGTTATCGTTTGCAAAATGAGCAGATCCAGAATAGTCTTCCCGATGGTTTTCCCGTGCAGCTGAATTCGAAGATGGTCTGGGATAGGAATAGTCTATCGATCGATGAGCACGAGAGTAATGATGGGACGGACTGTGTGCTGGCGCTGGATGAAGCGCAATTGGCCGAGATTGACGCCGCTGTGAAGCACTTTGAAGGTTGATACAATCTTTGCCTTATCCCCCAAAGCTAAGATCTGACAATCCAGCCCTGAACCTACCCCCCTCAAACCTAGATACATCAACATTTCCCCTCCCGAACCTGCACCCCATTCTCCGCCGCGCATCCCAGAGCATCCACTCCGGACACGGCTTTACCCTTCTCCGCAATATCCCCGTCGACAACTACACCCGCGCGCAAAACATAATAATCTACGTCGGCCTGGCCTCTCACATCGGCCCCATCTTCGGTCGCCAGGACCACCGATACCAGAACCAACCCGCAGACGTGATGTTGGCGCATATCACGGATTTCCGTGAAAAGAGCGCTAAATCTGGTGCGGATGAGAAGAAGTTCTCGTTGGCGGCGTATACTGATGGAGAAGTTATTTTCCATACGGATGTGGGTGACATTGTTAGTTTGTTTGTGCTTGGTGAGCCCATGGAGGGCGGGGAGAGTTTGGTTGCCAGTGGGGGGAGGGTGTATAATGAGTTGGCGAGGGTGAGACCGGATCTCGTGCGGGCTTTGGCGGAGGAGTGGTCGATTCCTAGGTACCTTCCTTTATACCTTTTTCTTTTTCTTTATCTTTTTTTGGAATGTTGACACTTCGTGTTAGTGCTAAGAACGATACCATCCACAAACGCCCATTGCTCTTCTACCAGCCACCCACAGACACTACACCCGAGCGTGTAATCATCCAATTCTCGCGCCGCTCCTTCTCTGGATTCGGCAACGTCCCGCAATCGAAATATCTAACCGCAGCGCAAGCAGAAGCCCTCGACGCGCTGCACTTTCTAGCAGACGAACTTCATATCTCCATGAAGTTGCGGAAGGGCGATATCCAGTTTATCAATAATCTGGCTGTTTTGCACGCAAGGAGGAATTATGTTGACGACAGTGAGCATCGGCGACACCTGCTGAGACTGTGGATGAGAGATCCGGAGAATGCGTGGGAGACACCAGAGGAGATGAAGGGGAGATGGGGGAGGATTTATGGGGTGGGGGCGTCGAATGGGCCACCGGTGTTTCCTTTGGAGGCTGCTACTAGGTCTGTGGGGGTGGATAAAGGTGCTATTTAGACGGTATCTATACCGAGTACTCCTGTTGCACGTGAATTCATAAATCAATTGCTAGTTAGTCGTAAGTCATTCCTATATGTACCCCCATAAAATATAGGTCCTATATACAAAAGTCGCCAGCAGACATCCCAACACATCCACATCAAGTTAGAACAACGGCATACTAACCGTATTCACATAATCCACATTCTCCTCCACACTCTCCACCCTCGGACACGTAGTCCCGAAAACCCGATCCCAAACCCGACTCTGCTTCCCATAATTATAACTTTTCCTCCACCCCTTCCGATGATGCAAATCATGATCCTCAATCACAATCTCACAGCCCAACATCTGCAACACCCAACTAAATGGCGTCGGCACGGTCAAATGCAATCTAATTCCACTATGTCCCCAGACCTCCGCAAACGCAACATACTGGTGGCAGATCCACCATTCGTAAAAAGACATGGGGAGGCCAAACGCATAGTGTAAAGTGAAGTAGGTCATCATGGGGACGCCAACCATGTCAAAGAATTCCTGCTCGTGGTCTGCGTAGGCGGAGAGGGTGGGGTTGGGATGTTTGGTGAGGTGGTGCGTGCGGTGGAATTTCCAGAGCGGGTTGAAGTCGTGCATGAGGCGGTGGTACCAGTAGAACCAGAAGTCGAGGACGACGCCGTAGACGCCGATTTCGAGCGGGAGCCATTTCCAGTCGAGCTGGGAGGGGAGTTGGTTCGCGTCGTAGGAGAAGTAGGCGGCCATGATGATGCGCGAGATGGTGGTTTTGTAGAGTGAGGCGACGACCTTGTGCACGCCTACGTCTGGGATGTCATCGCGGGGCTTTTCGCCGTCCAGGAAGCCGTAGGTGTGGCCTAGGCGGCGGATGATGTGCATGAGGTAGATGACGGTGGCGTTGAAGAAGGTTGAGTAGAAGCCTATGGCGGCCCAGCGGGACATGGTGTTTCCTGTGTAGGTGGTGTAGGCTTCGTGAACGAGGAGGGGGATGGCGCCGTAGAGGAGGACCCAGAAGTTGAGGGACCATTGGGACATGTAGGGGACTTTTTCATCCTTGGAATGAACTGGGATTTCCTGGTCGAGTTCGAAGGGGTGGACGTTTAGGAGCTCGATTAGCCAGTGATTGATGTTCCATTGATCTCGGGGGGCTTTTCGCCAGGTGGATTTCATGGAGTCCTTTGGGTTTCTGGCCTCCATCGTGACCGGTAATTTGATGTTCAGGCAGACAAAGAAAAAAGTAACGATACCTAAGGTTTGGTTAATGCATGTCTTCAGATAGATCCTCCATTGCGAATGGCTCTGCTTTATCTCCCCAGGCTTCGGCAAAACAACCATCTCGCAACATGTGAAGGCCCATCTAAACACTCGATCGGACTCTTGTTGGTTTCCCTCCGCGAGCTGGGGTGGTTCGTTGGGGATAGAGAGGGTCATAAATTTCCTAATTGGGAACGGCTTGCGAGGCCCGCACCAGTCAACCATGATCTCCGCACGTTTCACTGGGCCCGGAGATTTGATGTGTCTGTACGGGGTAGTTCTGCGAACCATTTCTAGTAAAAGCATCAGTAATATTTGGTTGATGATCTTGAGATTAGTCCTAAGTTCGTCTTCATGTGTTCGCAGAATTGCAGAACTAGGTTAGGCTTCCGAGCGAAGACGGTAGGGCTTGACGAATCACCACCAGAAGCGTCCGTTGCCTCGGGAGTATGATCTTTCAGATGGATACAGATTGAACAAACCAAGATCATTGAGTATTACTCAAGCATCTTGAAGAGTCCAGAGTACGTAGTGAAGCAGATGAGACGCGAGCGTTAACCAGATAACCAATCATAACAAGTAATAAGCGAGCGAATGAGATTCCGTATATGAACATCCAATCATAACCAACAGAACCTGCACAGTGGTGAGTAAGGGTTTTCATGACGGCATAGCCCAGCGAACAGGTCAAGGGCAGTAGTTCGCTGTGACGTTGTTGTGACTCGAAATATCGAGAAAAATGAAGACAAAGTGTTAGTGAACACCTGTTGTGTTGTTGTGTCAATGACAGTGACAGATAATTATGCTCTGCAAGATATTCTTGAATACCACGCGGTAGAGAAATTGGTCCTGCATATTCCAGAGTTGTCAATGATGCATCCATCGAAAATAGAGTACATGTACTCCGGAGTATGGAGTGGTGAAAAGGAGTTGCCGTGCCATGGATCGCATCCGGTCTTTATCCGCAGGGCACAAAATCAACCATGGATAAAATCCCCACGTTCCAGTGTTTTCAATATCTAGATATCAACATCGACATCAACATCAACTGTTATCAAATCTAGCCCGTAGTAAAACGTTATGACCTCAGCAAAAGTACTACCACCGGGCGCCGGGCAACTCAGCCTTCCGGCGAGGATCCGGCATAAAACCTGAATCGCCACAGTGGGCGAGAACACAGTGGAAACCTAGCATCTGCCCTATCACCAGCGATAATCCAGGCGTCTCGGGCGTTTGTGGCGTTTGTCAACGGAAGTTGAGGGAATCAATTGACTTGCCAGTGAGGTCATCACGAGTCTTTCTCACGTGGCTGAGTTCTTTGTTCTTCTTCGTCTCTCGACCTCTTCTCTTATTTTTCCTCTTCATCCCTCATCCTTTCTATCTTTGTATTTTTCTTTTCAGCTTATTTGTGTCATTCTCTCCTCAGATACAACTAAAACTCGTCTACTTGAGTGTCTTAATTGCGTCTCCAATTGCGTCAACGTGCACTACTTTGATACAACCGAGTCTACCAACACCTCTTCTGTCCTACGAGGACAAACTACCCTGGCTCGTTATTCACATACAATTCTCGTTTATTGCGTCTGTTATTCTGCACTCTGTACACCTGTTCCTTTTCAGTGCTTGCTGTGATCGACAGTTCAGCCAGCCCTCTTACCCCACCAACCCCTCCGAGCCGTTTCTTCCCTGTTCTCCTCTTTCTGCCATCTTTTTTTTTCCCTTCCTTTTCTTCTTCTCTTCTCTTCCACTTCTCTAGACATCGTCTATTGATCCTACACCATGTCATCACACGGCACTGTTTATCGTGATCCTTATCGCGATTGGGATGAGCCTCGTTCCTCCTCCTACTCGGTCAAGCGTTACGTCATTCCACCAGAGGAGGATCGCAACCTGGTTGTTCGACGACCCCGTGATTGGGACGAGCGCTCTGGAATGGAAGATGAGTTAGATCCGCGCATTTACGGTGACCTGCGACATGATGATCCCTACGAACGTGAGTACTATCGCTATACCCGGTTTGAAGACAGCCTCCCCTCATCGGACTACTATCCCCCTGCTCCCATTATCATTTGCGAAGGTCAGCCAATAATAATCCATGAATCTCGAGGTCCAGTTTACGCCAGTCCACGTACTTCCGGTTACGATGTTGCCCCACGACCTGAACATGATCGGGATCCTGGATACTATTATTACCGCCGTGTTCGCGAGTATGACGATGACCGTCGTGCTCGTCACGAGCTCAGGCCTGACGACTCCTTGTCTCAGCGACCCCGCCGTCGTGATGATCGGGACTACAGTGACTATAGCCGTGCTACGTCTCGTGCTTCGTCTCGTGAACGTGATGAGCACCCGAATCACAGGCGTCATATGGCCGAAGGCGCTGTTGTCGGCGTCGCTGCGGCAGAAATGCTTCGTCACCGAAGCAAGAGACACGGGGATGATGTGTCGGATGGTGCTGGTCGGGTCGGTCGAGACGTCGGCGCTGGTGCCCTAGGTGCCGTCGCCGTAGAAGCCGGCTCGCGGGCCAAAGACTACTACCGGAGTAGAAGTCGGCACCGCTCTCGCTCTCGTGTTCGCGATGACGATGATCGGAGCTCTCGAAGATCTCATCACAGTCACCACCATCGCCATCGTCGCAGCCATCACCACCACCGTCATAGTCGTTCGCACGGCAGTCGCAGCCATGCCCGTTCTCGCTCTCGCACCAAGACCCTTGCCGGCCTGGGAATTGGTGCTGCTGCCCTTGCTGCTGGTGTGGCTTTGGCAAACAAGAACAACAACTCAAAAGATGACCGTCGCAGCCGCTCACGCCACCGTCGCTCATCTCGCTCGCGCGCGCCAAGTGAGAGTGATGACCACCATCGCAGTGAGTCCCAGAAACGCAAGCACATGGCAGGTGCCGGCCTGGCGGGTGCTGCGGCTGCTGGTCTCATAGACAGGCATCGCAGTCACTCGCGTTCTCGGAAGGGTGATCGCTCCCGCTCCCGCAGTAAAGTGCGTAAAGCACTCCCCATTGTGGCGGGTGGCCTGGGTACCGCCGCTGCTACTGGGATCTATGAGAAGAATAAGGATAAGCGGGACAGGTCCAAGCACAGGGAACGACGGAGGTCGTCATCCCGTGACAGGTCCCCATCAGACGTGTACCCCGACCCCTCGAGGGATTCGGCTAATTTGATCGAGTACGGCGACCACCCTGTTCATGGCAGCATCCCACCGGCCGATTATTATGGTCGTCGTACACCTTCTCCGGGCTATTACTCTGATGCCTCGGACCCTGTCGCACGTGATGCTGCCGGGTTTAGCCCCAGTCCTCCAAGAAACCGTAGTTACAGCCGCAGCCGCAGCCGGGGCGGCAGATACAGTGACGAAAGCTACTCCGACTCGGAGCCTAGCCGAAGCAGGTCAAGGCCGCGTCCTGGTGAGTGCTGAGTACCAAAATAACTGCACTAGGATAAAGCTGACAGCATCCCACTCTATAGCTCTCAAGGATCCAGACGTGGATAGAGAACGACTCCGCTTTGAAGATGAGGTTCATGATGATCCTTATGCATCTCATGACCCGTATGACGGGCCTCAGAACTACATGCCCTACCCGCCTTCTCCGCCTGTCCCCAAGCCGATCGACAACCAGTACCACCCCAACCCCAATTACTACCCGCCACCTCCAGGCCCTGGCCCTCAATATGGAGCAGACCCACGGCCATACCCTCCTGCTGATTACGCCGGCCCGCCCCCACATGGTGCGCCTCCACGCCAGTATCCCCCTCCTCCAGGACCAGGTTCCTACCCCCCTCCTCCAGGACCAGGTCCCTATGCCGCTCCTCCGCGGAGGCCAGAGCATGTGAGTACAACACGAAACTATCATCCCCACAAAGCCCGATATGCGTCCAATGGTGGGTCCATGGACGGCCGACGTTTAAGGTAGTGTCGCTGACTGTAGAGCATTCAGGCTTAAAGAGTGTCTACACTCCTCCCGAGACGCCGCGACGGCAGGAGTCCCATCCTCGAAGCCAGTCTCTGCAGCATAAATCAGTAGCTTTTGACCTTGGTTCGGATTCAGGCCGTCATCCGGAACCTGGTTATGAAGCGGATGACAGTGATTCGACTGATGACTCCCGTCATCATTCCCATCGCTTTTCACGCAGTCATTCTCCTCCCCCTTTCAATGATAATGACAAATCTCGATCCCCCCCAAGTTCCGACTCTGATTCGATAATTGACCTTCCCGATCGATTCGACTCACAAGGTCGACTTCTGACGGAGGGTGAACGTGAACCACCACTCGGGAATTCAATGCAGGACTTGATTGACAGAATGTTTGCTTAGATTTGTTTTGTGCTTTAGATTTACGATGCAAGTTATTCACCTTACGATGATTTGATATGCCGTGATGAGACTTGATGATTATGCCCACATGATGATGATGATGATGTACTTCCTTTTATGAATTGATTGTTGCGATTTATATGGTCCTGTAGTACATTGTCCGTATGCCTGGGGAAAAGAACAGGGTATTCCCAATGGAGAACCCTGTGAATGCCTTGTCCGAATAGTAATGAATGATTTGCCTTCAACTTCACTGCTCCAGAAGCATTGCCTCTTTTATCACCTCCATCGTTTTCTTCATACATCATCAATAATACCACAGCTATCCAGATTAGCAACTTTCGTAATATCCTATCCCCAATAGCTCCATTGTTCTCTAGACGATAACAGGTTAAATCCCTAAGCCAAACAAGCCTACGATAACCAAGCCAGCCATGAGAATGAAACTGACCGACAACTCAAGTCAAGATCAAATGCAAAACCATTTCCAATTGGAACTATCCGGAGCGTTAATTGGCACATGCCACGAGTTCAACTTTCATTTCACGTTGAAGATGAGGGAACTCCAGACCTGTCAAACGATTTTGCGGTTGGGATTGCTTTTTTCCTCTGCTAGGGGGATGGACAATGCCAACGTGAGTGGGTGGAGCGGGAGATGAGATCTGAGACATATTGGTGGAAAACACGCAGTTAGTGAATGTATCTCAATAATAAATCATGCCGGTTACGGACGCAAGATATAAACTTCACTGGTGAGTTAAAGTGTCGAAGAGAAGACAATCGATAAAATTGACTGTTCACAGCTATTTATCATTTATAAGGTATTGGGCGGCTTTCACTACCGCTTTCAGCCGGCTTCTTCCACGGATCGATGGACATACTGCCCTAAGCGCGCTATAGTCTAAATTGACGCGACAAAGACATCAGAAGCCATACAGGCCGGATTCAGAGTCGTCAGATCTCACACTCTGCTGTTTTAGAGAGCCATTGGTTTCTCTATCTCTAGGGACAGGGTGGGGGGTCTTGTAGTTGATACGGGATCCCCAGACTTGTGGTACTCAAGACCTAGTCGCGAATGACACATACGCCGAAAAAGAATTATGGCTGGTGAAGGTGTATGTTGAAATGTGCTGCTGGAAGAGGTGCTCATGTACCTCACACTGGAGGTCAAGGCAGACAGGCCCAGTATACAAATAGGACCATCTCTGCTAATGGCCACATGAGATGAGCAGAGTGCCTTCAGACACTATACACCCTCTGACTTTTTTTTTTTTTTGAACCACTTGGTTCAGGGTATCATAGGGATTATGTCCTGGTTTAAGGGCAAAAGCTGAAATAATAGTGTTCGTTATCGTGGATAGTATAGCAACATTTTGCGACTGAAACGAAGTTTTGTTCAACAACCATCTGAATTCTTGGAAGTACATTCATTGAACAGCAGTTGCTGGCCATTTAATGATGAACATGAAAACGCACCTCTTATGACGGAATATAAAGTACCATACGAGTTGACCTGGGAAGTGTCTTTCCAGATGATCATCAGCACCATTGAAAGACCTTAATAGCTGGTCTCTGGACCAGCATTACGCCAAAATCTTCCCAGATTACATGCAGGCCTTTGTCCTTTCATCGCTTCTCTGAAGCAGACTGAAAAGATTGATTCCAATCTGTTGTATGAAGTACATGCTAACGGAAAATGTGTATCGAAATCTGTCATCAAAGCCCAGCTTTAACGTAGTCCCTCGTTGTCCAGCAGGAGGACATAAGACCCTCGCTTCGCAGACATACCTGCGCGGAATGAAATCCCTAATACTTCGT